AGATTTTATTTATATATTAGAGAAAGAGAGCACAAGTTGGGGGAGGCAGAGGGAGAAGCAGACTCCCCGCTGAGCAGGGAGCCCGATGCAGGGCTCGATCCCAGGACCCTGAGATCATGACCTGAGCCGAAGGCAGACGCCCAACCGACTGAACCACCCAGGTGCCCCCTTTTATCAAAAGATTTATTTATTTATTTATTGAGAAAGAGAGCGGGAGTACAAGCAGGGGGAGGGGCAGAGGAAGAAGCTGACTCCCCACCGAGCAGGGAGCCCAACACAGGGCTCAATCCCAGGACCTGAGCCAAAGGCAGACACCCAACAAACTGAGCCACCCAGGCACCCCTAGGTACAGTATTCTTACAATAAATAAGCTAGAGAAAAGAAGATATTATTTAAAAAATCATAAACACTGGAATATTACTCAGCAATAAAAAATAATGAGATCTTGCCATTTGCAACAACATGGATGGATGTAGAGGGTATTATGCTAAGTGAAATAAATCACAGAAAGACGAGTACCATAAGCTTTCACTTATATGTGTAATCTAAAAAACAAAACAAATGAATAAAGCAGAAACAGACCCATAAACAGGGAACAAACTGATGGCTGCTGGAGGGGAGACGGATGGGGGGGGTGGGTAAAATGGGGGAAGGGGAGTGGGACGTACAGGCTTCCAGTTTTAGAATGAGTAAGTTGTGGGGATGAAAGGTGCAGCATGGGGAATATAGTCCATGGTAAGGTGATAGCACTCACTGAATGCTGAAGATGGTAGCTACAACTAGAGTTGTTGAATCAGTATGTCTTACACCGGAAACTAACGTAACTTTGTCAACTGAATTTCAATAAAAATTTTTTAAAAAATTTTTAACAAAAATCAATAGGGAAAATATACTTACAGTACTGTACTGCATGTACTGAAGAAAACTGTATTGGGGCACCTGGGTGGCTCAGTCGGTTAAGCATCCGACTCTTGGTTTTGGTTCAGGTCGTGATCTCAGAATCAGGAGATCGAGTCCCACGTTGGGCCCCACGCTCAGTGCCGGAGTCTGCTCAAGTTTCTCTCCCTCTTCCTCCGCCCCTCCCTCTGCAAGCTCCTGTGCAAGCACATGCCTACTTGCTCTCAAATAAATCAGTCTTTTTTTTAAAAAAAACAATCGTGTATAACTGGACCTGTGCAGTTCAAACCCTTGTTGTTCAAGGGTCAGCCACAGTTCATGACCAGAGCACAGATAGAAACAAAGGCTGCAAAGGCCGGCAGCATCATCTGCTGTTAGCCTTGATCCCGTGGGCCTTGCTCTCCAGTTGCATTATGCATCAGAATCACCTATGGTACAAGTTTTATTTATTTAAGTAATCTCTATACCCCATGTGGGGTTCGAACTCACGACCCCAAGATCAAAACGTCGCATGATCTTCTGACTGAACCAGCCAGGGGCCCCTAAAGCACACATTTCTTATTCCCCTTCTAATTTGGCTCCAGGGGAGGACCGTGGAACCCGAATTTTAAGGACATGTCCCAAAAATTCTAATGCAGTACAACTTGGGACACAGTTTGAAGAAATATTACCATAGACAGTGAAGAGCCCTTAAAGATTTTTTAGGGAAAAAGTAACTCTTAGAAGAGGTCACGAGCAGATCAGATTGGCCTTTGGTAGCGAGGAAGCTGGGTTGAAGAGATGAGAGCCTAGAGGGCAGAGTTCACCAGACAGATGACTAGTACGCAGAATGCCAGCAAGAGGACGCCGTTCACCAAGGTAGGGGAGCGTGCCCATGTTTAACCTAAATTAAGTTTCAACAAAAAGAAATGTGAGGATTTGCAATATTACTGCAAAAGTTCATTTAAATACCAAATTCTCCCCCGGGGTTTTTGTGCCCTCATGGTTCCATTCCTGGCTGTATTAATTCCCTATTATTGATCTCTAGTCTGGACACTTCTTATGAGCTTCAAACCTACCTAGGGACTGGACATCACCTCCTGGGTGCTGGGGGTTATCCCAAACTCAACGTATTCAAAATTGAGATTTTCATTTCCCAACCAGAATGCTGGGAACCAAGAGACCCTCCCTTTCCCTCATATCCCTCTAGTTACCTAAACAGGAGTAAGAACTTAACGCTACCTATTTGTAAATTCAATCTCAGAAGATAAAAAGACAAACTGATACGCAGTAAACTTTTCACAGTCAAGAATTTAACGTTCAGTTCAGTTTCAACTTTAAGTGACCCCAGGGATTTAGAACACAAAGTTATGTGATTTCCCTCAGGCAAAAATCTTAACCACAGGTCCTACCTGAGGCTGTTACACTTAAGTTACTTAGCTAATGACTGAGGCTGGCTCAGCACTGACCTATAACTGTGGCTTTATTGCTCTTTATCTATAGAGAAAATGTCCATAAAGTAAAAAGTACTAGAGTGAAAATTTATGAAAATTTGCTTCCAAAGGAAAAATTTGCTTCCAAAGGAAAGCTGATTGTGTTACGATGGAAAGATCTTAAAGGCCTTTGTAGCCTTAGCTATACAAGGTAGAAGTTTTGGATAAAGAGGCAGGATGAATTTGGCAATGATTTATCTCAGATACAAATGAGCTTACCATATGCTTTACATGGAAGAAGAAAAATGAGTAACTGTTCTACCAAGTGTCCCAGGCAATCTAAAAACCCGTGAGAGAAAGCTAATAAAGCTAGAAAAAGGCAGAATTTAAAGTATCATCCTAGGGGCGCCTGGGTGTCTCAGTCGGTTAAGTGTCTGCCTTCAGCTTAAGTCATGATCCAGGGATCCTGGGATCAAGCCCTGTGTCAGACTCCTTGCCTGTCAGGCTCCCTGCTCGGCAAGGAGTCTCCTTCTCCCTCTCCCTCTGCCCCTCCCCCTGCTCATGGTCACACGTGCTCTCTCTCAAAAAAATAAAATTTTTTTTTTTTAAAGATTTTATTTATTTATTTGAGACAGAGAGAATGAGAGAGAGAAAGAGCACATGAGAAGGAAGAGGGTCAGAGGAAGAAGCAGACTCCCTGCTGAGCAGGGAGCCCGATGCGGGACTCGATCCCGGGACTCCAGGATCATGACCTGAGCCGAAGGCAGTTGCTTAACCAACTGAGCCACCCAGGCGCCCCAAAATAAAATTTTTTTTAAAGATTTTATTTATTTGCAGAGACACAGTGAGAGAGAGAACACAAGCAGGGGGAGTGGGAGAGGGAGAAGCAGGCTTCCCGCTGAGGAAGGAGCCCAGTGCGGGGCTCGATCCCAGGACCCTGGGATCATGACCTGAGCTGAAGGCAGATGCTTAACAACTGAGCCACCCAAGTGCCCCCCAGAAATAAATAAAATGTTTAAAAAAAAAAATCATCCTAAAGATAGGCAATAGAAAGCAAAGAAAAAAAAAAAACTAGAAACATACAGATCAATGGATACCTAACTGGTATCAATGGCTACCTGACAAAACCATGTAACAGTGGAGCAAGGGCATTAAATGGTGATTGATCAATGGGGGAAAAAATTACCTCATTCCCTGAGCCAAAAAATGTAGTCTTAGATATAAAATACAAATTCCTTGAAACTAAAATAGGTAGTTCATAAAAAAAGTATCCACGTGGTCAGTCACAAGCACATAAAATGTGCTCAACATCATTAGTCATGAAGGACCACTTTGTATCCATTAGGAAGGCTAAAATGAAAATTAAGGGCAATACCAAGAAATACGTAACAATTAGGACAACCATTTAGGATAACTATCTCGCAGTATCTACTAAAGGAGAATATGTATGCGTACATTGTAATCCCAAAATTCTACTCCTTGATATATAGCCAACAGGTTTATGTATATACGGACACCAAATAACACATTAAAAAATGTTCGTAGTACACTCGGTGCAGAGTCCGCTTGGGATTCTTTCCCTCTCTCTCTCAAATAAATGAATCTTAAAAAAAAATTGTTCACAGTAGCGTAATTTGTAATATTCCCAAACCGGAAATAAAATGTCTTTGTTAATAGCAGAATGGACACACTGGGGTACATGCATACAATGCAAAATTCTATAGCAATGAAAAATAAGTAACTGCTACTCATATGATAAACAAATCTCAGAAGTCCAAGGGATAATCTTCTCAGTGGCAGATCCCATTCTATTGCTCAACCTGGATGGTGGTCACACTCACACACCGGTGTGTAAACTTTGTGATGATTATTAGGATTTTTGCACTCTTCTGAATACATGTTATTTTTCAATGAAGATGTTCCAAGCAACTCCTTCCTAACAAAAAAAGTTTGTAAATGATTTTAGTACCATATTATATAAATCATCAAGTGTGTAGAGGAGCTTAATATTTTTTTCAGTTCTGTTTTATTTCAGTTTGAATTTTTTTAGGAAAATGATATGCTACAGAGATGTCTTATGTCTTGTGAATGTCAAGGGTCCCCTGTATTCACATTTCCTTATGACCAAAATATATGGGGAAAATGTGAGATTCTAAGGAATGAACACGAAGACCATTGAGCTTAAAGAAAAACTGACAAGAAATTATAGTATTATTTTCTCCTCTACAGTAATCCTGTTAGTCTCATAATTTCTTCTTCCTTTCGTATACAGAGGGAAAATATAGACGTCCATTAACTTCAATTCCTGGTGTCAGAATTCAAACTTGAGATTTACGGATGGGGGAGCTATGCTCCAGTTGTGGAGTGGGAAGAAACCAGTTCCCCTTTCCTAGCCTCTGTCTTGGATCTTAGTAGGCAGTAATGAGAAGGCTGCCTAGGGCTGACTCAAGGATAAGTATTAGAATTAGTAGCAGTAGGGGTGCCTGGGTGGCTGAGTCGTTGAGCGTTTGCCTTCAGCTCGGGTCATGATCCCGGGGTCCTGGGATCGAGCCCCGCGTCGGGCTCCCTGCTCGGCGGAGAGCCTGCTTCTCCTTCTCCCCTTGCTGGTGTTCCCTCTCTCACTGTGTCTCTGTCAAATAAATAAAATAAAATCTTAAAAAAAAAAAAAGAATTAGTAGCAGTATTGGGAGTTGCGAAGCCATGTTTTTGCAGACGGTTCTCCCTATTCTTTAATTAAGAGTTTAAACCCCATTCACACTCATGACTTAAAGGCTGAGCCTGCAGGAAGGTGGATAAAAACTCCAATTTCCTAGGAATGAGGAATGAAAAACCAAGACAAGTAGGCACTGTAAAACTGTTTTTGTTTTTTTAATGCAGGTCAGATATCCTGAAACATACATGTATTTTGATAGTCTTCTAATCCCACTTGAGTTCAAATATTAAAGTAACACACACGAGCTAAGAGAATTCAATATTGTTCCAAGGCACTTACTGAATCTCCATGACTAGATGAAAACAAGGACAATTAGGATGGACAATTAGACAGTATATAATATAAAAATAACTTTTTGCTTACAATTTACAAAATGTATTATTATTACAATCTTTGATCTCTGATAACCTGCAATGCTGGCTGCATGAATCCAGCAATTTTAAAATTCAGAAACTATTTTCTAAAACTTCAGGGCAAATAATTTACAAATAAGGTACACAAAGATTTAGACCATGCAGAAATTTCTTACATCTTCTGTTAATAATATTTTATGACTGCAACTTTATGAAATTATATACCTACTTGCCCTGTACATATACAAAATAATGCATACATGATAAAACATTAGCAAAAGAGTAGTCCTTAAACTCAATTTATCATAAAAGTATTACTATATTAACATGTCTACAAGCAGCGTGTAACAGGGTTAAGAGACATTAAGGCAATAATACTTGAAGTTACAAAATAAACCGTATGTAATACTTTTTTCCTAAGTGTAGTATAAGGCAGGTAGATGGTCCCAGCAAAAAAATAGTAAGGTAACAATCTACACTGCTGTTAGTCCCACATTTTTAAGATGGAATACTATAAATCTGGCTTTCAGTGGCACTTGAATTTTCCAGTATAATTTAAAGTGTCTTTTAGCTCCCTGAATCATGTCCATTCTGAAGGTGGATCTCTTGGTCCTTTGGGTTTTCCACAGCGGTTACGAAAACCTGTAATCAAAACACCACAGTAATTGGTCAGTGTCCAGAAATGTTTTTTAATTTACTAAAAACTCTTAATTTGCTTTGGGTAGTTCATTTAAGAACCTGAATAAATCATAGCAAAAGTTTGATAAACTTTGCCTTCAGGAAAGCCTGAAATGACGGCAAATAACCTTTTCTCATTCTTGCCAGCATTAACTACATAACTAAAGTTTTAATTATTTAGAAAACAAATTACCAATATCTGTGGCCTCTGTTGGACTTTCTGATATTTGATCTTTCTTGTTACTGAAAATAGGTGGACATTCTATACAAGTCTCTGTGTGAGTACCTCCTGCTGGATGATCTAAAATGCAAAATAAAGCCATTGTTAATCAGCATCATTTGTAGCATCCTATGTAGAATCCTCTAATTATTTTAATGTCTGTATTAATAAGTTAAAAGAGCAAGTTTTCTCTCTTGGGTATCATAATTTCAGAGGCCCAGATGCATATAAATGCAATGGTAGTGAACACAGGAAAATGTGTTAGGTGTTCTTGAGGGCACGCAGAAATCTTCAGTGAGTTGTTCTGCAATGTATGGATTCTCCTTATGCTCTTAACTTTATTTAATAAACCTCAATCTTGCCATTTTATATTTCCTTAAGGTAGCTGTACTATGTGCCAATGTCCTAAGGCTATAATTTCAAGTGAGATGCATTATATGGAAACCAACAACAATCAAGTTCATAGTTAATTAATGGACTACTGGCTTTTTTTTGGACTACTGGCTTCTAACCGTAGTTTTTTTCTTTGAAAGTTTTACATCAGGGCGCCTGGGTGGCTCAGTCGCCTTCGGGTCAGGTCATGATCCCAGGGTCCTGGGATCAAGGCCCACATCGGGCTCCCTGCTCAGCGGGAGCCTCCTTCTCCCTCTCCCATTCCCCCTGCTTGTGTTCCCTCTCTCGCTGTCTCTCTCTCTGTCAAATAAATAAATAAAATCTTAAAAAAAAAAGTTTTACATCACTTAAATTTTAGTTTACTTCTTTAATTACCGATGCCTAAGATTAGTAATAAAAGAAATTTTGTTAAAAAACTTTTATGGAAGCTTGGAATACGAGTCAAAGAATACAAGATCCTTGTCCTTAAGTGCTTATAGTTTAGACAGGGGTCAGCAAACTTTTTCTATAAAGGGTTACAGAATAACTATTTTAGGTTTTGCAAGCCACATACAGTCTCTGCCCCATTTTCTTCATTGATTTTTGTTTCTTTGTTTTTAAACAACTTTTTTTTTTAAAGTAAGCTCTACACCCAAAGTGGGGCTTGAACTCATGACCCTGAGATCAAGAGTCCCATGGTCTACCAACTGAGCCAGCCAGAGACCCCTAAACAACTCTTGAAAATAAAAATCATTCATTCAGCTCAAGGTCAGAACAAAAACTAGGCTAGCAGGAGAGACTGACAAGCACGTTATTATTATACTGGTGTGGTAAGTTTTATAGTAAAATGATGTAGAGTGCAATGGGGACAGAGAGGAGAGGCATGGCGATGAAACTAGTGGTTTCAGGACTGGCTTCTAGAAAAAAATGATGATCTAGTCAAAAGGCCTGAATTTTCTCAGTGAAGTAAAAGGTCATCTACTGAGTAAGAGTAGGACTGATGATTTCAGAAGAAAATAAGATTTATTTTTAATTATTTATTTACTTATTCTTTTTTTGGTGGGCAGCAAAGCGAAGTTTATTGAGGGATAGTACAAAGCTCCCAAAGAGGGAGGGGACCCGAGAGTGTTGCCCAGAAGAAATTAAAGATTTAGAAAATTCGGTATGCCCGGGTGGCTCAGTTGGTTAAGCGGCTGCGTTTGGCTCAGGTCATGATTCCAGGGTCCTGGGATCAAGCCCCGCATCGGGCTCCCTGCTCAGCGGGGAGCCTGCTTCTCCCTCTGCCTGCCGCTCCCCCTGCTTGTGCTCTCTCTCTCGCGCTCTAATAAATAAAATCTTTAAAAAAAAAAAATTTAGAAAATTCAAGGAAAATTTTAGAAAGGATACCAACTAGAGCATATAAGATAACCAAGCAAAGCTAAGTGCCCAACTATGGATGAAGATCCAGAATTGTAGGCTCAATCTGTAAAGCAGAATGATGTTCCCCAGCAGTATTCAGGAGTTTCGAGGGATAAAATAAAATGGTATGGGAGTTAGGAGCAAGAAAGTGGAGGTTAATTTCGAGTATGACCAGAGTAATGGAGGGCAGTGTCTAGACTGGCTAGAGAAGAGAATCCAGAAAGGAGTTAGCATACATTAAGAAATAAAGGGCCCAGGGATCCAGCAATATCGGCAGTAGTAATAGAATAAAGACAGTAACAATAATAGCCTGGCTTCCATTTGAGTGCCTATCACATGCCGAGCACGGTGCTGATATTCCATGAATGTGATCTGATTAACTCCTCAAAACAATGCTCTAGGGTAGGTGCTATTATTACCTCCATTTCACAGAGGAAAAAAAAAAAACGGGGCTAAGATGAGGTGACTTGGCTTAAGTCACATAGTTAAGTAAAATAGTAAAAATGGAATTCCAAACCAGGTGGGCTTGACTCTAAAGCTTCTGTTCTTTTCCTTATGACACGTTGCCCCAGCAAAGGAGACAAAGAGTAATAAGAATTTATGAGAGGGAATGGAGCCCCGTTAGGCAAAGATGCAGGGAAGGGGCAGCTAAAGTAGAAGGGAGGGCAAGGGCAGCAATGACAGATGAACTGGGGGAATTGTATAGGCTAGAATGTTTGATGAGCTGCTTTCATGGTCACTGACTTATAGGAATTAATAATAACTTGATGTATTTTACCATGATAATAAAAGAAACGTGGCAGAAAAATTTTCTAACTTGGCATTATAACACTGGGCTGAGCTACATAATCTTACTGGTCTTCACAAATGTAGAAGTGCTAAAAGGAAGAATTACAAACAACTGATTTTTAGGGACCTCGTTCAATAATCTAGATGAATATGGGACATTTATTCAAATCACTGTCACATCTAGATTCTAAGTGTTTTTATAAACAACAGAGATTAAAACACAGAAAAATATTTTTTAAAATAATGTTTTCTCCATTAGCCTGTAACTACCAATAATAAATGTTGTTACTTCCCAGATTAATAATATCTGATACAGTAATTAATTTAAAAGAATTATACTGCATAGTTCAGGTTCAGTACACCATGAGACATGCTATTTTATGGAGATTAATCTACATAATCTATTAACAAAAAGGAATAAAATCTAACTTACCACATTTTTCAGTTCCAGAGGTTATCAAGCCCTAAAAGGAAGACATTTTAATAGCTATTACAGTATATCCCTTTTATAACAAATAATAGAAAATTTGGTCTGAGTATATATCCCAAGAAAGCAAGGTCTACTAAAATTCTCAGTGTCAAAGGGAAAGAAAACAATGGTGTTTTCAATTAGGCTTAAAATTTTTTAATGTTACAGTATTTTATACTGAGATGAAAAAGACAGGGGAACTATTTTTTCCTTCTAGATGGAAACTGAAAATGCAGGAACTACTACACAAAGGACCATACAACTCCATTTCGCCAGTCCTCTACCATATTCATAAGACATAACATCATTAGTATAGGTTACCACTATTTTATGTGCCAAGTAAAGTATGTTTCTTAATCAATTGTAAGACGTACCCTAATTTGGGGGATATTAAAATATGGAGGAAATATGAAAAATATTAATGTTGATGAAAAATGGTATTTCCCATGACCAATATATTTAGTTACCAAACATTTCCTGATTGTGAAAGGAAACCTCTTGTGACCAGACAAACCAAAGGATGGGACTATGTACTTAGTGTTATAGTGGGAGGAACAAAATCTAAGAAAGTATTATGACCCTGAAAATGTAACTCCTGTTCTAGTCACATCTCCAAAATGATTTAAAACATGGCATAATTCACAAATTTCAAAAACTGTCTAGAAAAATGACACTGAAGTCATGGTCATATGTATCTCATGTTGCCCTTTTAAAAAATTTCCTATCACATTTTATATAGACTTTTCATCTAAAATCTTAGCAGAAATGCTGATAATAGTCTTAAGGTGACAGTTTTTGTAACAAACTAAGATAAATTAAAAAAACAAAAGAGCAAAAATACTGAGTATATAGCTGTTCCAATCCCAAAAGGACTCACTTCAGATATTTTTTGTTCAGACTGTTCCTGACTTTGAAGTTCACTCCATTCAGATTTCACAGGTGTATCTGAGAAAAATGAAATCTTACAATTAACATGTTTAATTCTTGAATTTCTTGCATTAAAGATACAAAAACAGACCCTATAGATTTTTTTAGAAACTATCACTCCATAAAATATTCTCTGTTAATTCAAGAAAATCCCCTTAAGTTTCCTTTCTTAAAATTTAATTAATTCAGTCATCAGAGTTTATTATGTTACCATAAGCTCACGGTAATCTACACATGTGACAGACTTAGATGTACTCATTTGGTAGTTTTGTAGTATATATGGCTTCACTGTTAACAGTCTTGAAATCAGTTGAAATTAATATAATATTGGTAAAATGTAATTCAGATAAGGCTAGGGAGGCCCCCACTGAGCATGAGACACTATAAACATATTAAAGCTGTTTTGTACTCTTTTTTAAGAAGAGACAGAGGAGAAGTATATTATGAAGGCTTTGATCACTTTCTCCCAGTTCTCACTGCCACTCATGTGGCCTCAAGTCTCCCTCAATTAACACCAACTGAGTTGATGCCCACCTACAACCCAATTTAAATATTTACTTACCTAAACTGGAACCCAGTGAAGCAATTAATGCCTTTTCATAAATAAGTACTATATTTAGTGAAATGAAAAGACAACAACTTGCAAATACAATTATAATTGAATTTAACTAAATTTAAGTAACATAAATGCAGCCATTTTAGCAATCTTAGCAAGTAAAAAATATTTTCAAGTATTTAAAAATATAAGTATTTTTCATACAAGGAATTAAAAACATTTGTCAATATCAATTCAAACCTTTTGAATTTAATTATGCAATTCAGTAGCAACTAGACTAAAATCAGCCATGTTTTTTGGAGTTTATTATTACAGTATGAAGTATGTAAAAGCAGAAGAGACACTCACTATGTTCACTTGCTAATACAAAAGATTCAGGAGTTCTTTCAGGTAGGGGAGGAGGTGAATCTTCACTAACGTCAACATCTATATTAAATACATAAAATTCAGACAAATTATGAACTTGTTAAAGAATATTAACTCATTAAAGAATGAATTTGTTATCTAAACAAGAAAACTTTGACATTCTAAAAATCAGTTCCACAAGTACATGAGAACCAGTTTTTAAAAATGCAAAAAACGAACAAGAAATCCTTACTGCTTGACTCGTTATCAAGAAAATTATGAAGCTTAATGAGCAAAGCGGAATGAACTCCATCACCACCACACAGAGAAAATGACTCTCTCCTGACTTTCTGACACCCTGCAGACAGTAATCACTCTGGCTTCTGAGCCTGAACACAGACTTCAATAGAAAGCAAGGGACCTCTCTGTTAGGCTTGCAGATGACGCTTTGAGTCCACGAAGGAAAGCTTTGGCCATCTGACTTAAGCCAGTGTTTCCCAAATTGGAATCAATTGCTTAACTCCTTTCATGAATTTTGCCATACTATATACCACCATCTGTCCTATTTGCTTTTTAAATCCCACTCATTTTTAACTTAACTATGTCCTTTGGTCACATTTTATTTACTAATTTTTGGGGGTCATATTTCAAACAGTAATGACAAATAACAAATTTGAAGTGTTATTTTTCTACTATACATAAGTCTATTAATTTTTTTTGAATGTTCATTTATTTAATGCCTAAAATCTTCTGAACAGCGGCATATAATCTGCTCTGAGAATACTGACTGAAGCTATATTAAAGCTTTTCACCAGTAAAAACAAAATTCACTCTTGGAAAAGATAATTCACGATGTGAGCCTCATCAGTTAGCTTACAACATAGATTAAGATTTTATTTATTTATCTGACAGAGAGCGAGAGAGAGAGCACACATGCACACAAGCAGGGGGAGCTGCAGGCAGAGGGAGAGGGAGAAGCAGGCTTCCAGCTGAGCAGGGAGCCCGATGTGGGGCTTGATTCCAGAGTCCTGGGATTATGACCTGAGCTGAAGGCAGCCACTTAACCGACTGAGCCATCCAGGTACCCCTGTATTAGATCTTTTGAGGTTTCACTGGCGGTAGAGAAAGCAAATATGAGGATATAATTCCGTGTATGGACTCTCAGCTTAGGAAGGATGGGGTGAAAAAAGGGAAATGTAAGAATCCTATATTATTTTGTCTGGGCCTGACAACTGTTCTCTTGCCGTAATACTTTGCTATTTAACCATATCTGACAGGCTATAAGTATTAAAGAGACTGAAAAATCAGCAAAGCCTTTTTAATTTTCAACTAGCATGAGCCAGGTATGATTGCTCGTGTTCTTCCTACATTTATTTAACTAAAGACCCAAGAAAATACAGCCTCTAGGTCCTGCTGAGAAAAGAATTCCAGTCCATTACTTTATATGTCTATCACTGGTACTGGAACTCTCTCTTGCATGTAAAGTTAAGCCACTAAAGAACAATTTACCTTATCTAATGGTAGTAACTAGAGCCATCACCATTCTTCCCCTTGCCCTCATATTAACTGACAGCTCACAAGTGAAGAGATGGCTGTTGGAAGGAAGGGATGCATAATCTCACATTGTGATGCCATTTCATAATTAAGTGAACAAATCAGGAAAGGCAGTCTTGCTTAGTTTACATTAAATATCAGGTTATCTTTCCAGAAACTCTATACCTCTTTTTCTCATGACAGTCTTTATTCTTAAAGACTTTTATTTTCTAACTGCAGCTCTTGCTTCTCAGCCCCATGTTATTCTTGGATTTCTGGATCGCCTTTCCTATGTTCTAAACTGCTGTTTTAAAGGTTATCCAACCAGAGACTGCACATTTTACACAGGCTTTTTTGCAAATTATATGCTGAATGGGGACTTAGTGTAGCCAATTTTGAGAAATCTTTCAGGAGGCCTGAGTCAATATTAAAATCAGAATTCATAGCCAGGAATTTTTGCCAGGCAGTAACTTACGCAAAAGGTTGTTTTAGGTATCAAAACACAATTATTCTGTGTAATTACTTAACAAGTTCTAAAACAAGCAAACAAAAACTAATTCCTATGCCAATGGTTCATCTATAAAGTAAATAACTAAACATTAAAAATAGGATTGCTTGTAGTCAAGTGACAGCACAGAATACTTACAGAGGACAGTTTTCAGTTAATACCAAACTCATTTAGCGTTGTTAGAATAGGGCAAAAAGAACCCACAAATCACAGTTATAGCTATCTTTGCCTTGACATACAAATAAAACGGAGAGAATACAAGTGAGCTGGTGTACAGCAGGAGGACTTTAAAATACAAAATGCTGTGGAAGGATAGTTAAGAACTCCTTCTATTACCATCGACTGGTCAGGTAGCAATAACTTTTAATGAGTGTATCATATCCCTGTCCTCACACCAAATTCTATTTCTACTAATGGTTTAAAGAAATATATTTCCTAGGTATAAGATGGACGCCTGCTATGCTACAAAAAGCCTAAAATGAAAATTTCTTTTCAACTCATTTTCTTGCATAGTTACAACTTGGCAGTTATTTTTCAAACTCCGAAGTGGAGAAAGAAAAAGATATTAACAATTTTAAATTATGGCAAACTAGTAAAGTAATATTTATGGTGGTAACCATTATCTTCTGAAGATCCAGAAGAGGGGCACCTGGGTGGCTCAGTCGGTTAAGTGTCCAACTCTTGGCTTCAGCTCGGGTCATGATCTGGGGTCCTGAAATCGAGCCCCGCGTGGGCTCTGTGCTCAGCAGAGTCTGCCTGTCCCTCTCCCACTGCTCCCTCACCCCCCGCTCTTTCTCTGGAATAAACAAATAAAATCTTAAACACACACACACACACACACAAGAATACAGAGAATCCTGTAAATTTAAGAAACTACCTTAGATTCTTACCTACTCTACCAGATACATTCTTTGGATTAAAAAACACAGTATGTGTGAGTTGGGGAAAATAAAGGCACCATAGTATGGGTGGTACTTATTAGGTCAGAAATAGAAAAAGAAAGTTATCTTTCAAGTTCACAGTACTTATTTTGCCTGTACTTTGTAAATACCAGCCTATATAAGTCATGACCAAAGTTCACTGACAAGTAAATGACCAATGATAATTAATCTACCCATAATAGCTTTTGTGTTTATTACATTTACTCTCAACTTTATGGCCTGTTTAAGAAGGCAGCCAGGATTATTTTAGTAGATCAAAGATGAGTTTCAACAACCAATAATACATCTTGGGAACCAAGTGCACATATTACCTTGAAAACCTAAGACAGTTTTAAAAAGAGAGTCATTAATTAAATAATAGTATCAATGACTTAGATAAGGAGGCTATATCACATTCACTACTGACTGAATTAAATTTCCCATATTCTGCTGAGTAGTTGCAATTTTGCTTCTTGGTTAATCTCAGAGTTGAAAGTAGCTTCATTTGCAAGTATTTTGTGAAGAGAATTTTTTTAAAAGTATTTTGTAGTTAAACAAGCATAAAAAGATGATGAACTAGTATATGTGATAAACATGGATGAAATTAAATGGCCAATCAAGCCATTCCACATTATTTATGTCACTGTTACTTTAAGCAATTCTATCTTCCCTAAATTATTTCTAATTATTCAGTCAGCTAAATCTTTGACCCACATAAAATACTAAAAACTGTAACACAGGAGAAAAAAAAAAAGCACAAAAATTTTCAGTTACAACAACTGAAATACTTGGGAAACACAAAACCTAGTAATGCAATTAACCAAATTAAGGTAACAATAAATAAAAGCTTACTTTAAAAAAAAGTATGTAAAATAATGAAATTTTGCTGCAGGCGCTAGAGGGAAATGTGGAATAAAACATAATGAATTAATATAGATAAGTTGCTTAGAACAGTGACTGGCACACAGTAAAAATATTTAAGTGTTAGATAATGTTATTATTACCTTTTTCAGCACCTGAATGTATTGTTCCTGCTATATCATGTCTAGCAATGGACATTGGCAATACTTTCCTTGTAGAAATGCTTTCAGTACTAGTGGCAGCAGAAACTGTGGCACTTGCTGTTGAAATATTAGTTTTATTCATGGTCACAGCACCATCAGAGTTTCGTTCATCTGAGTCCGAGTCATCAGAGTGAAGAGGATTAGTGAAACTGAGGGGTGCTCTGAATAGAGGGGAACTGTTATGCTGATCTGCAATATCATGGGTTTCAACCGGTGTTGTGGGGCTTGGTGTTACACTCACAGTTTTCATTGCTTGACAGTGGATATCTGAGGGTTTGCCTTCAGATGAATCAGGCCTGGGTAGGGTATCTTCAGGTCCATGAAAAGACCACGTTACGTGTCCTTTCTCATCAAGAGGCAAGCGGTCTGGCCTTGGAGGTGTGCCTGAATTCTTCTGTGACTCCTCTGGTGGAGTAAGTGGAACCTTATTTGACTGTGTTGCACTGCAGTCCACACAAGAATTCTGAGAAACATCATCAACTTTTAGATCCCCTAAACTCAATTCCTGTGACTTAGAGACTTTATCACTTATACAAGGTGGAGTCGATTTAATTTTAATGGCATGTCCCCTATTCAAAAGTGTGTTCCCATCAAAACTTTTTGGTCCCTCTTGGAGGGGGACCTTCTTAATCTCAAAACTTAAATTTCGCTCCAATTTTTTATCCACCTGCTCACCACCTGATTCATTTTTCCCTGGAAGTTCTGCTGATTTGTTATAGTTCCTGTTGAGGTCTGTTGGATGTTGTTCTGATGAAACCATGTGCAACACTGGCTTTGGATGGTATCTGTCGTTGTCCTGCCACACAGTAGTGACTGTTGGAAAAGCTGAAGGGGGAGAGGGTGTCAAGATGGGTGGCACTGGGTGAGGTTCTGGTGGCTGAAGTATTTCTTCCTTGGCATCCCCTTCTACAAGGCAACTGAAAAACATTAAGAAAAGGGCATCATAAGAATGTTCATCCTTTTATGAATAAAAAATTATACAGTCAAACAAAATTTAATGTTTAATAAGGTAATACATGTACACTGTTTACAAATACAAGAATTTTAGGGGCGCTGGGTGGCTCAGTTGTTAAGCATCTGCCTTCGGCTCAGGTCATGATCCCGGGGTCCTGGGATCGAGCCCCGCATCGGGCTCTCTGCTCAGCGGGAAGCCTGCTTCTCCCCCTCCCACTCCCCCTGCTTGTGTTCCCTCTCTCGCTTTCTCTCTGTCATAAATAAATAAAATCTTAAAAAAATTTTTTAAAAAATACAAGAATTTTAATGAAAAACAGCAGTCTCCTCCCACAGCCCTTCAGCTATCCAGACACATGAACTTTCAACTTTCTTAAATAGCTGCTTCTAAGATTCATCTCCATTATTTCAAAATATTTCAAAATGCATAAACTGCTATTTCTTGATCTACTTCACACATTCTCCATTGTCTTCCTACTATGTATCTTTTCTATCTTCTCAATAATGTTCTGTTGTAACTTTTAGCTAGCTCAATCTTATGACTATAGATATTATTCTTACAGATGACACCATGATGTCCTATATTTTCTGATACAACTTCTTATTTTTCTCTAAAATTGTCTTGGGTTTCAGATGGCTTAGTTCTCTATGTATCAGCAATAATTCAGCCCTTCTTCGAACTTTCTTGCAGATTTGTACACCTCCTCTCAATTGACCAGTCAGGCGCACTCGGTAATTATCAATACCACAGATGTTCCTCTCAGGTCCTTGGGCCTCGTGCTCCAGTGTAGACCACTGACTACCTAGGCCACCACAGGGCTTGATGTTCTCTCCTCTGTCACCCTCCTGTTTTCCAGGTCCCATCTTACTTTTTCTAGTTACACTTCCTTGTTTTGGTGGCCATATCCTCAGTTGCTTCTTAAGAACTATATATAGGAGGCAGGGGTGCCTGGGTGGCTCAGGTCATGATCTCAGGGTCCTGGGATCAAGCCCCAATCGGGCTCCCCTCTCAACAGGGAGTCTGCTTCTCCCTCTCTCTCTGCCCCACCCCATCCCCACTCACTCACTCTCTCAAATAAATAAAATCTTTGGGGGAAAAAAAAAGAATGGAGTATTAAAAATGACTGGAAGATATCTACATATATGTAAGGGGGAGGGCTCGAGACTTGTGGCTTAGTTGTCATCTAACTGCATGGTGACTGAGTACAGCCCTTGCAAATCACTGGTAGGCCACAACCATGAGTAAGTATACATTTCATCTCTTGGATTGGTTAGTTTTTCAAGAGGGAGATTCTGTCTCCCACCAGCAATCTGGGAGCAGGGGAGCTGGAGGATCTTACCATTTAGCATCCAAATTCCTATTTTCAGTAAGGCACTACAACCTCACCATCACTTGGACCTGATGTCCTTGAATCCAGAGACTCCCTGGTTCAACTACTCCAGAGTAAATCCTTCCTGTGTGCCCAAATGTGGGAGAAGCAGTCATTTGCTCAATTTAATGTAAGGAATCTGGTGTCATGAACTCATTAATACTCTAAATACTCTATATAGAGAGTACTTAGGTACTCTCCTTGTTTTTAGTCCCATCCTACACACCAGCCTTAAGAAGGACTTCCAATTTCTAGCTTTTCTTGGGGTTCTCTGGAAAATCATGTTGCTTCTTATTGGCTTCCCCCACCTACAGGAAAGCAAGTTTTAGCTTTCTCTGTTAAGTCCCTTTTCACTGGTCGATGTGCTTTCCACTTTCCACAATTTTGTTGACATATCTGATACCATCCCCTCTCCAATTTTGTTTTTTTAATCTTTATGCATTTTTATATTCCTACACTATAATTTTAGAAGTTTAGGGAGGGACCAGAGTTAAATGTGTTCAAGCAGCCTTATTTAACCAGTCATCTTTTTTTCTAAGATTTATTTATTAGAGAGAGCACATGCGTATGTGTACGTATGTGGGTGAGGAGGGCCAGAGGGAGGGAGAGCATCTCAAGCTGACTCCCTGCTGAGTTTGCAGTCTGACACAGGACTTGATCCCACAACCTGTGAGATCCTGACCGGAGCTGAAATCAAAAGTCAGACGCTCAACTGACTGAGCCACCCAAGCGCCCCTTAACCTATAATCTTCTAAGCGCTTTTGGAAGCAGTCTGTGCAGGATGTTGATATGTACACAATAAATATATTTTTAGTACTCACACTTAAAAGAATAGCTTTACTTAGGTGTAGTTGATATACAAAACCAATATATTTAATGTATAAATTTGATGAGTTTGGACATGTGCATATACCCATGATACTATCACCACAATCAAGGTAATAAACATATATCCATCACCCCCAAAAGTTTCCTTGTGTCCCTTTGTGGGTTCTTGTGGCTACTCAAATGTGATTGGTAATTACACTAACAGATTTTTTTTCCTTATCCTTTCTTGATTTAAGGTTGGAACAAGGCTTAAAACACTTAAGTAGCACTTATTATAAGCCCCACCACAAAAAAATATATACAACATATGGATTTTCCACTATAGTGTCCAACACTCACATTTTTTACTAGATATTCCGATGTAAAAAAATTCCACTGAATAGATATAACTTGCATAATTCTTACTGTAAATATTGGTTTTAATCTAATCTATTTGAAGAAGGCATATTTTTCCCTTAAACAAAGCAAATTATTCAAGACCTACCACATAGTAGGCATTGTACCACTACAAGAAGAGGACAGAACAATGAACACAACAGTTTGGGGAAATAGTGAAAAATAAGGCTAAAAAGATAGACTGAAGCTATACTCTGAGGCCCAGAATTTCACACAAAGATATTTGGACTTTATAAAAAAATTTTACATTTATTTGACCAAGTCTTAAGATGAGTGACTATAATTTTTTTTTCCAAATTGATGTTTTATTTAAAATCAGAAAATTACTTTTCTTACAATAATTTAGGCTAGATTCCATACGGGGTGGAAAGAGTATGGCAGTAAAGGAAATCACAACCAAAAAATTAGAACATAACACTTGAAAAACAAAAACCTTCACTACTCTGCTTTTTTCTAGGAAGGTAATACCATATCGTGAAAAAAGCATTACTGGACTGGAAGATAAGAGATTTGTGTTCTCAGCTGAACTCTGCTAGCCTATGCAGATCAATTTCCTTTGGAAAGCAGCTATATTAATATCCCTGTGATCAAGATTACTGTAAAAATTAATGAATTCATGACATCACTGTTTCGACATATCACTGACTACAGAATGAATAGAGAATACAAAAAAGGAAGAAAACATATATAGTAGATGTTATATCAATGCTAGTGATTACTTTTTTTAAAAAAAAGATTTTATTTCTTTATTTGAGAGAGAGAGAGCGTGCACGTGCACACACACCAGCAGAGGGGAGAGGCAGAGGGAGAAGGAGAAGCAGGCTCCCGATGCGAGGCTCGATCTCAGGAGCTGGGATCACGGCCTGAGCTGAAGGCAGACGCTTAACCAATTGACCCACCCAGGTGCCCCAACGTCTAGCAAACTTTTAAAGGGAAAAAAAAAAATCAGTGAATCCTATATAAAAGAAGTCCTACTTTGAGGGAAGGCCAATCCATTTGGGCAGCTCTTTGCTCAAGACAAGACCCTATACAAGCCATTCTAATACTTTATTATTAGAGATGTTCTACTGTGCCTCCTTTTAAAAGTAATCCAATTAACTCCATTTTAATTCTACACTGTCATGGGAAAACTAACATGTAATGAAAATCTAATATGTGCCAAGTCCCATATTTAGCATTTTCACATAGTTTATTTCATTTCATCCTTAGGACAATACTTAAACAAAAAAACCAAAACCAACCCAGGATCAAATAAGTGACTTATTCACAACCTCAAAGGTAGTAAATGGGTGAAAAAGACTTGAAACTAAAGCTTTCTGATTCTATCTAAATTCTTTCTATACTACCATGTAACTGACCTAGCAGCTGCCCTAAAAGAAAAAAGAAATACAGGGCACCTGGGTGGCTCAGTTGGTTAAGTGACTGCCTTCGGCTCAGGTCATGATCCTGGAGTCCTTGGATCGAGTCCCGCATCAGGCTCCCTGCTCGGCAGGGAGTCTGCTTCTCCCTCTGACCCTCCCCCCTCTCGTGTGCTCTCTCTCTCATTCTCTCTCTCTCAAATAAATAAAATCTTAAAAAAAAAAAAAGAAAGAAATACAAAGGGGTACAAGAATATATCTTTTTTTTTTTTTTAAACTTTTTATTTTATTTATTTATTCATGAGAGACAGAGAGAGAGAGGCAGAGGGAGAAGCAGGCTCCCAAGAAGCAGGGAGCCTGATGCGGGACTCGATCCCAGGACCCTGGGATCATGACCTGAGCCGAAGGCAGACGCGTAACCATCTGAGCCACCCAGGCGCCCAAAGGGGTACAAGAATATATCTTGACTTTATTATAAGTGAGATTGGTATGAAAGTAATAAAATGCTAAGAGAAATAAACTCATCTTTGCTAGTAATGTGATTAAATAATTTCTTCAATGTGCATACAGTTTTTGACAATATTACTTTTTTAGTCATTATGCAAAAATTGAAATCTTTAGAATATTCAAAAATTTAATTGTACTACATACCAAAATATGAGCTATTGTCAATTCACAGTTATGTTCACTGCTCTGGTACAGTATACTACTGAGATTTTACCCAAAGTGAAACAAAATTTTTAGTGTACCAGTAACAAATCAGTTGCCATACACATGCTATACCCGAGACAAAAGAGTGATAAAAGTTATAAAAATAACTTGGAAATATTCAGAATTTGTTTTAATTAACAGTGAGTAAAATAAAAATATCCTTTCAAAGAAAATGTGACGTACAATACCTGCGGGTCCTTGGTGGTTTTGGAGGAGGAGAATCTTGTTTGTCAGGATCTATGGAGCTGACCATATTTTCAGTGTTAATTTCATTCTGCTGAGAAAAAAAAAAAGGCTTCATTAAAGTTAGAAGAAAAATAATTTTCCTTTCTCATGTTTCACATAAACTGTTTCTAGGCTTTTCAGTTTTTAAAATAATTCCAATTTTCCCAAATAACAAAATGGGTTTTATATTCTCTATATTTTAGCTGAAAGGGCCAAAGAGATTAATATCAAAAAACAGTCTGGGGCGGCTGGCTGGCTCAGTCAAAAGAGCATGTGACTCTTGATCTCGGGGTCATGAGTTTGAGCCCCACGCTGGATGAAGAGATTACTAAAAAAATAAATAAACTTAAAACAAAAACAAACCCCGCCTATCTCCAGTTACTGAAAACTCGATTGTGTACCATGGCATTTCAACACATTTCAAATGCTACTGTAAAGGAACAGATTTCCAAGAAAATAAAGATCAAAGAAGATACAGCTTTTTTCAGGCATCATTACCAGTAGAATCTTAACATGTACAGAGAAGGGGAAAAGAGCCAACAAAATAAGGGTTGTATCTTTTATTTTTCCCAATTTTTTTGGGGATTCCTATTGCTATCTAGTACTTTTAAGCAGGTTCCAGATCTCATTTTAATCATTCTTTGCCCTACCCTTTATCACCACGGAGTGCCCTGCTCCATAAGCATATATGGCCCTTATATCACTCTCTAACCAAATAAACCGCAAAAAGGCAGAGTGCGCGCATTCAGGGATATCCTTGTTCTGGCTGGTCTCAAGGACCAGTAATATTCATTAATGTGGATGTTCCAGAGTCAATACAGTTTTAAGAATCTTAGGTTGTGTTTAGGATTGTGCATAGAAGAATTGTGAGATTATTATATAAAACATTGCCTTGAATTAGTTTCACCCTCAAGGAAGTACCTCATTTTTATCCAGCTTTAGGATACTACATCTCAGATTAATTTTAGAAAAAAAGCTATCTTTATATACACTATGATTAAAGAACTCTGAAACTGCAGTTGCCTTTTTTTTTTACATCAAAAGACATTTCCACTGTGACCATCATAGCACCTTCTTTGCCTTTCTTGCCAGTGACTTTTTTTTTTTTTACCAAGTATGCTCAACTAAGGAAAAGAGAGATCTCAACTTTTCCACAATTTTTAGTGCACCCTGTCTCCTGACACATAATCAGATGTATTAGAAGAGTTTTATGCATCTTAACTATGTATCTCATAACAATAACATCATGAGAATGGATGCTTTCATTCTTAATAAAAGCCACCTACCATAACAAAGGCATCTGTTGCAGGGGTATCTGCTAAGGTAGGGTAGCCATGTAATTTATTGTCAAATCAGGGCTCTTTGAGAATGAAAGTGGGAGCACTAATTATTATTACACCTAGACAAATATAAATTGATATTGCCTCAGGTAAATCAGGTCTTTTGGATGCCACACTTTTAGATCCTCAGACATCACCAGAATTTAGACACTCTGCATCATAAAGATACCTCTGATGTATTAATAATTTACTTGCTTACAAATACACTCCCATAACACCCATTAATATTTTTGTATCAAAATCTGTACACATTCACATTAAGTAGGTTAAATAAAGATTAAGGGTGAACCATATGAAACTGCTTCTAACCTGTAAAACACAGCAATTTTTTATAGTACAATATGAATAGCCTCAAGTCATGTCAAGTCAGGTTTTGCTGCCAAATGAGTGTAATACCAAACCAACACTTTCACTCTCTATTTCCCCATCTTCTCTTCTCTCTCCCCTCTGCCCCACTTTAGGTTTTCAGAGCATTTTGGATTTTGGAATAGCAGGTAAGGCAATGTGGATAAATATGTGACATGCACTAAACAGTAAGCACTGGAGAGGATACAAAAATGTAAAGTACATAGTCCTTAACTCCAAAAAGTATAGTCTAGTAATATTACCAAACTAAAAAGTAAAGGGGTAATCATAAAATCATAAAGTAGTGAAACCAGAGATGTTATTTAAAGGTGAGAATATTAAGAATATAGCTGAAAAATATTAAGAAGTTGAGAATATTAAGGCAGCATTTAGAATGACATTAAGAGACAGGTAAGAGGGGCGCCGGGGTGACTCGGTGGGTGGGCTGTCCGCCTCCTGCTCAGGTCGTGACCCCAGGGCATGGGATGGAGCCCCGTGTCCGGCTTCCTGCTCAGCGGGGAGTCTGCTTCTCCCTCAGGACCCTCCCCGCTGCTCACGCACACTCTCTCTCTCAAATAACTAAATAAAATCTTTTTTTTTTTTTAAAGATTTTATTTGTCAGAGAAAGAGCACAAGCAGGGAGAGCAACAGGCAGAGGGAGAAGCAAGCTCCCTGCTGAGCAGGGAGCCCGATGCGGGACTTGATCCCAGGACCCGGAGATCATGACCTCCTCAGCTGAAGGCAGGTGCTTAACCGACTGAGCCACCCATGCGTCCCTAAATAAAATCTTAAAAATAAAAAGAGATAGGTAAGATATTGAGAAAAAGAAAAGAAAAGATTATGGAAGGGAACAAGAGAAATGAAGGGCATTTTCAAACAAATATGACAAAGGAAAGAAGATGTCATGAAGGATTCCTCATTTTGGGTAATGACAGAATGGTGGAACCATTAATAGAAAGGCCAAAAGAGGAAAAAGAACTTTGGGGGGAGGTAAGACTTTTGAACATGTTGAATTTCATCTGATGAGAAATCAATGTGGGAGTATAGAAATGCAACTCAGAGAACCATTGCCTACACAGCATGAACAAATCCTCCTGGCTACTGGACTTCAGAATAGGACAGTGTTCTTCTTAGATTCCTTATTTTTGCCTACAATAATGTCTGTTCTACTCATATCTTTTGACACTATTAACTACAGCTTTTGTGCCCACATTTGTCCTAATGTATATAGCTCTATTAAGGGCCTTTTACTACCAACTGAAACAATCACCAACTTTTGAAGGTGAATTAAAGTATTTTAGAAATTACATAATCCACTGAAATTAGGTTCTAGTATATTCTTTTGTTTCAAGAAAAGCTTGCTAAAATTATTTCTTTACCTTTTGACCACCTTCCATTTCACTAATTTTGTTTCTTAATATTTACCACATAACAGCCATATCAGAGGCCACAAAAAAAGATCAGAACCTAATTATCAAATACTTAAGGATATATTATCAACTGCAGAACAATATAAATATTAAAACAAAGTGCTTTAAAAATAAAGGACATTGCATCTGAGGAAAAAATACTCAGAATTCAGTATCACATCTAAAATGTACAATAACAACAGAAGGACCATATTGTTGCTATTACTCCATCATCCTAGAATTGAAAATCCTGGTACTGATAACTGGTAGTGGTCTTTTATATAGAAGATAAAAAGGCATGCATGTACATCTTACAGATGTTTGCTTACTGAATGAAGTGTTTTTAAATCCCAAATCAATAGGCTACTAGATTCCAGAATAAACTTTCTCTTTACATCTCCTACTCTGGAAAGTCATCTTGGTTGTAAATACCACTGACAAATATCATTATAGAGTCTTATATTGTTGATCAGCATTCCAACCAAAATTTCTATGAAAATAATTCTGGAACATACAGTTTAAGAGTTTTTTGTCTTTTTTTTTTTTAACTTTACCTTTAAATTGTCAGAGAAGTAATAAAGAGATTTATAAATGTTTCTCACAGCATAGGTTCAGAAAGGCAAGTAATATATTTCAAATTATTTTACTCAATCATACAGTTCTAAGATGTTCTTCCCCAACTTTTTAGATTCCACATTTTTTTCTGATTGGGATTTATAGTCTCCAAGTACATATAAACCTGCTATAAAAAGTCACCTAGATTCAGAAATACCTAGAAAACAAGATTTCTTAAGAGGACACTATCAGGGGTGCCTGGGTGGCTCACTCAGTTCAGCGTCTGCCTTCAGCTCAGGTCATGATCTCGTTTGGGGTCCTGGGATCAAGCCCACATCGGGCTCTCTGCTCAGAGAGGAGCCTGCTTCCCCCCTCTCTCTACCTGCCTCTCTGCCTACTTGTGATCTCTCTCTGTCAAATAAATAAAATCTTAAAAAAAAAGAGGACACTATAAAAAAATTACCTAGAATAAGCTATCTTTTTCTTCTACCCAGTTGTCCTTCCACTTTTTAAATCTATTCATCCATTGAGTTACATAGTTATATAGTGTCAGACACTACAGTATACAACCTTTGGCAAAATATTTATTCTTACCAAATACAGTTTTCTCAGGAAAAGGAGAATTGTTTTCCTTTTATAAAATAGAAATATCCATCTTGCCCAAAAGGTAATCCAGTAATTACCATGTCAGCTTTGAAATGCAAGGATATAATCTAACATTTTAAGTTCAGTTAGCAAACATTTAGTGGGTGTCTCCTATGTACCAGGCAATGAGATACAAAAGTAGGTTTGAAATAACCACTAATCTGCCATCAGGTGATATTTCATGTCATCCCATAACATGCATATGATCTTTCTTCTATTCTTTAGCTATCTGTAAACCTCTGACCCATTAGACAGAAACAATCTATAACAAAATCATAATCCTAGTGTGAAGTTCAGACTAATAAAATGGAAGTTTAATTTATGGAATAAAACCTAAAAAAAATCAGGTAATGAGAAAACAGAGATGAAAGAGCAATGCAGTATTTATCACGTATCATTTTCTGGAGATTTCTTAAATATACTTAAAAGCTTTAAAGGTACAGCACTGAATACTGCATTAAAATTATTTTCAAGCAAAGGCAACAAAAGCAAAAATAAACAAGTGGGACTACATCAAACTAAAAAACTTCCACACAGCAAAGGAAACTATCAACAAAATGAAAAGGCAATCTATGAAATAAGAGAACTGAATAGCAAAAAACCCAACAACCTGATTAAAAATGGGCAGAGGATCTGAATAGACATTTCTTCAAAGAAGACATATAGATGGTCAACAGGAATATATGAAAATATGTTCAACATCACTAATCATTAGGGAAATGCAAATCAGAACCACAATGGGACCTGATTATCTGTTAGAATGGCTAGCATCAAAAAGATAAGAAATAGTAAGTGTTAGGATGTGGAGATAAGGAAACCCTCATGCACTATTTGTGGGAATGTAAATTGGTGCAGTCATAGAGAAACAATGTGGGGGTTCCTCAAAAATTTAAAAAACAAAAACAAAACAAAAAAAACTACTACCATATGATCCGGTAATCCCATTTCTGGGTATTTATCCAAAGGAAGTGAAAACACAAACTCAAAAAGATATATGCACCCTACCATGTTCACTGCAGCCTTATTTACAAAAGAGCCAAGACATGAAAGCAACCCAAAGGTCCATTTGTCGAAGAATGGATAAAGAAAATGGGACATATACACACAATGGAGTATCATTCAGCCATAAAAAAGAAGGAATTCTTGGCATTTGCAACATGGATGGACCTTGAGGGCACTATACTAAGTGAAAGAAATCAAAGAAAGAAAGACAAATACCATATGATCTCACTTATATGTGGAATCTAAGAACAAACAAACAAAAAACTGAACTCAGATACAAAGAACAGACTGGTGCTTGCCAGAAGTGGGGGGTAGGAGGTGGGTGAAATGGGTAAAGGGGGTCAAAGGATGCAAGCTTCCAGGTATAAAATTTAAAAAGTATGGGATATAATGTGCAGGATGGTGACTATACTTAATAATACTGTACTGCATATTTCAAAGTTCATTAGAGTAAATCCTAAAAGTTCTCATCACAAGAAAAGAAAATTTGTACTATGTGTGGTAATGGATGTTAACTAGACTTACTGTGATGATCATTTCACAATATATACAAATAAATAACTGTGCTGTATACCTGAAACCAATGTTATATGTCAATTATATCTCAATAAAAAATGAAATAAGAATTTCCTATACATTTGAAAAATGTAATGGTTAGAATATTTTTCACTTGTATATACTAAGGAAATGGTAGTCTAAATTATCTACATTTCTGAAGTATAGAAACTTTAACTTTGAAATTAATCTTACATTTATAAAAACAACAAATTTTCTTCCACTAAAATTTAAAGAAAAAAGCACAGCCTATTTAGCTTTCTGAAGCATTAACTGATTCTCAATTTAAATAACATTATACACAATAATATACAAAGCATTCTATTCTATATTATACAATATCTGGCTACATTCAGCACAGATTGTAACAGGTTTTAATTAAACTAAAGGGAAAAAGAGGGGTGCCTGGGTGGCTCAGTTGGTTGAGCGACTTGCCTTTGGCTCAGGTCATGATCCTGGAGTCCAGGGATCGAGTCCCGCATCGGGCTCCCTGCTCAGCGGGGAGTCTGCTTCTCCCTCTGACCCTCCCCCCCCCTCATGCTCTCTCTCTCGTTCTCTCTCAATAAATAAAATCTTTTAAAAAAATAAAGGGAAAAAGAGATGGCAACATGTGCCTAGTTGCACAACGATTCCTATGTTAATACAAGAAGTAAAAATGAGGTCACATATATTAATCTTAAAAATCTACCATTATCACTTGGCTAATAAAGGAAATACATAGCTCCTAAAACTCATGGATCAATATTAGATTATTTTAAGACACTGTGATCAGCATTTGGTAACAAGTCTCTCATTTATAAAACCCAAGAAATTTCAAACAAATAGTCTAGGAAAATGCCAAAAACAATGTGAAGAAGAAAACGAAAACAAAGGTTATAAATTGCAACTCATTTCCTCATTTTACTTCAGTTATTGAGGCTAAGTTGATTTATCTGTGATGGCTATCTTAGGTTCAGGGATAAAAACGTAAAGAAATTTTATCAAAAAACAGCGCAATACCTTCAAGGACAAGATGATTACAGAAAGACAGCAAATAAAAGAACTAGTTAGAAAACAGAGACAGACATGAGAACACTATGAGAATAAAGTATATCTGTCAGGTCAAAAGTTTGAACATCCAATAAGATCTGTTAAGGCTAAAATGACATTGAACGAAACACATGCCAAAAAGGGACTTCATTGTAGCACTATAATTCTACTTAATTAAAAAGCCTGTACAAAATTAATTACAAAACTTTATATCATCATGACCAAGAACACAATTTAATTCATGTAGAATCAACTTAAAATTACTTAGGTGGGGGGTAGAAGAAAAGAGAGAACAATGCAGTTAATTTTTTTAAAAGTAATTTATATTTGAAACAGTAAATATTTTTGACATAAGATCTATTTTCCTAACTATATTCTATATTGAATATTATTTAACTTGTACTGGAGTCATTAAATGTCCATGATAATAGAGAGATTCAAACAGGAAGAAGGAAAGGAGTTAACAAAATCAAGGTTAAATAAAAATAACAACTGTCATGAATATTCTCATGTTAGGTAAAACACAGATAACCGTTAAAAAGCTAAATATTACATCTTGGTAAAAAAAGTTTTTGGGGCACCCAGCTGGCTCAGTCAGTAGAGCATGGGACTCTTGATCTTGGAATTAAGTTTGAGCCCCACGCTGGGTGTAGAGATTACTTAAAAAAAAAAAAAAAATCTAAAAAGAAAAAAAAGAAAGGAAAGGAAAGGAACGTTTTCTAAAATTAATAGGCCAAGAACACCTACCACTCCATCAGCAAGTTTCTGGGCTCCATGAATTTCATATAGCTGTAGCTGTTTTTCAAACAGTTGGGCGATAGCTCTATGAACAAGCTCATACTGCTCCTATTAGGGAGATGACATGATGAACAAGGGAAGAGACATTTGAAAAAAAAAAAAAAAACCAAACAAACCAAGAAGATATTTAAAAAAATACAGTCTATAAAGTGAAACAAAAAACTATACCTTAGTTTGCACTGCAGAATGCCTTTGTGTTCTCATTTCTTGTATTAAATTAAATACATTAAATTCCTCTGGTATTTTCTAAAACAAAGAATTTAACACATCAACTCTTTTTCATGTGGACCTGTAACTTCTCAAACAGACCTTATATACATGCTGGATGACTGAAAACATTTACTGAGCACTACCTACCATCCATCAGACATTGTTGTTGGCATTGAAGATACAAAGTTAATCTGGACCCTCAGCAGTCAAGCTAGTGAGATAAGTATACAAATATCCAGCCAAGGCCTAATTGCAGTGCAGTGGTAATAAAGATGCTGTGACTAACTCTGATTGGTGTGTGGAGTAAAAAGTGAAGGAAATATACATAAGCACGGCAGATTAAATGTATGATCTTTTGGGGGAATTCAAAAGCTTGATACAGCCTAAAACTGAAAGAAGGAGAGGTATTTAAGGAGGAAAGAAGACAAGGCTACCTGGAATCAGACTGTAAACATAATAGAGTTTGAACTTATTCCACAGGCCACTGTTTCCTGGGCTGGCTACAGAAGAACCAAATAAGAAAGTTGGTAAAAATACAGATCCCTCAGCTATGTCTCTGGAGACTGTGAAACATCCCTGACAATTCTTTGGTACGTCTGGAATTAGAACTACTACAATAGGTAACACTGACATAAGCAGATCTGATACTCAGTCTACTTTGCAGCAGGGAAGATCAGAGTCTGAAAGGGAGAAACTGGTAGAAGTTTACTGAAGGAATCTAAAAAAAGAAAGATACAAACAGATTTGAGGCACACTTCTGAGACAGAACTATTAGAACTTGGTGATCAACAAGAATATTTTGGAGTGATAAAGAAGAAGGGTTAAAAAAGATTCCCAGGTTTACTGTTTGAGAGTCTTTATATACATCAAAAGATTTTCACAGGGCGCCAGGGTGGCTCAGTTGGTTAAGTGTCTGCCTTTGGCTCAGGTCATGATCCCAGGGTCCTGGGATCAAGTCCTGTATCAGGCTCCCTGCTCAGCAGAGTCTGCTTCTCCCTCTCCCTTTGACCCTCCCCCCTGCTCATGCTCTCTCCCTCTTTCATGAATAAATAAAATCTTAAAAAAAAAAAAAGATTTTTACATCAAGTCCTAAGCTAAAACATAAGATTATATATATGTTAAGCCAAACACAATCAAATGAGGACTATGTTCAAAATACACAACTTGTGGAATGACCAGATGTTTATTCTGCTTACTGGCATTTATTTAAATGCCTCTTTCCATCCCAGTTTTAATCTTTGACTTTTTTTCTTTTTTAAAGATTTTATTTATTTGAGAGAGAGAGAGAATGAGAGATAGAGAGCACGAGAGGGAAGAGGGTCAGAGGGAGAGGCAGACTCCCCGCCGAGCAGGGAGCCCGATGCGGGACTCGATCCGGGGACTCCAGGACCATGACCTGAGCCGAAGGCAGTCGCTTAACCAACTGAGCCACCCAGGCGCCCCTAATCTTTGACTTTTATGTTAAAATGGGTTAGAATCTTAGTAAATTTTGTTCACTTAAAAATTAACATTTGAGTATCAGGAGGATTACATTTTTGAGGAATACAAAAATAAAATTTAACCCCAAAGGGCTTTTGTGAAGAAAATTTAAATATTCCCTAGCAAAATTGAAAAATGTTAAGGCAGGGGGAAAAAAGAGAAAGAATAGAGGGAGGAAAGAAGGAAAAAAAAGAAACTAAGTATTTTATTAATCCTATTTGATACAAGATAAAGACACAGAAATACACCTTAAAGCTATAAAGGGGGCAACCCGGTTGGCTCAGTGAGTAGAGTTATGTGACTCTTGATCTCGGGGTTGTGATTTCAAGCCCCATGTTGGGCATAGTGTTTAAAAAAAATAATTTTTAAAAAAGCTATAAAGAATTAAAAACTTCTTCCTAATGCATAGAAAAATGAATACTATTAGAACCAGCAAGAGAAGCAAATCTACACACAATGAAACAACGTTTTTCAAATCTGTAATGAGGACTGTGTTTTATTTCCTTCTACATCCTCCATAGTATTAAACACAACATCTTTGAAATAGTAGTGGTAGTAACAACAGTAACACCAGTTTTAATGAAAACTAACACTGAACTGAGCACCTGGTATAGGACACACATAGTTCTAAGGAACTTTACAAAGGTTAATTTATTTTTTATGAGTTATTAATATTATGATCCCCATTTTCAGTTGAAAAAATCGAGGCACAATGAAATTAAGAAATTTGATCAAAATCCCACAGACAGGTAAATGACTGAATTTTAATCTGGGTAGTTTGGCTTCAGACTCAACATCCTTAACCACTATAAAATAATATTTCCATTTAGGCATAAATATTTATTGAATTGATTACACTTATACCTAGAATAAATTAAAAGGCAATGAAGATTCTGTATTTGGAAAAGTCAACCCAGATTTTACATTCTAAATGTGGGTATCAACTCACACAGAACATAGGGGTGGTAACATGTTTACCTTGCTGCCTTATGCATTATCTCAAGGTAATAAACATCATTTATACCTTTTCCAGTTCCACTACCTTTTTCCTTACATACTAAAGCTATTTCTAAATAAGTAACATGTATAACGAAACACATGCTATAATTTACTGCCATTTACCATTAAGTTGGAAAATAATAATAGATCAATTGGATATAATGCTATATAAAAATTATTCTTACCCCAGCTTTTAGTAAATTCCACGTATAATCTATGGCACAAATGGCACCTGTTCTTCCACAGCCTGCACTATAAATATAAAATTTGAAAGAACAATATGATTTTTGTCATAAAAGAACTATAAAATAAATGTGGATGAACATAATTTTCAGAAGCAAAAAAAATCATTTAAGAAATCTGACAATATTCTACCATCTTAGTAAACAAATCATAAAGTATATGCATGGCAAACATCTTTAACATTAGTATTTATCTTGTTTTTGTTTAATTTAGGGAACTTCCAAGATTCAGAGAATACCTAAGTGATTCACAAAATACCTAGCAGCTTTTACTTTGTAAGTCTAATTCTACCTCAGAAAATCTTGTCTTGCCAACATAGTAACTTGCAGAGAGAAATGTAATTTACGTCCAATATGGTGCCTTAGAGTAGAGGAGGAAACAATACATCATTTCAATCTGCAAAAGGTATAGAAAAGATGAGGAGTACCACAAGCCCTAGAAATTGGTTTGAACACTAGCAGTGATTTCACCAGAAGAACAAAGACAGGTGACGCACTCTCATCTCCTAAAGAAATAATAGAACCTGGAGAATGTAAAGTAAAATTCTGCAGGGTTTTTTTATTTTAAAACATGACAAAAGTATGTTAGAGCAACTAATTCTCAACTAGAGGGAGATAGGAGACATGCACCTCAGGACTGAGATCACTCTGAGTAATTAAAGATATTACTGATATCACCAGAATAATTTTTAGGTAGAAAAAAAGTTGGGTAGCATTTTAATACCTCAAAACCTTTAGAAAGATCAGTAGTTTGTCAAACATGTCATCTAAGATTTCCTGATAAAATACATCTATAAGCAACTCAGTATGATTTTTAAAAAGCTCAGTAATATTAATTTTTAACTGTTGATATATTTATCAATTCCTCACATCAAAACAGTTCTAGAATACTGCATTAATTACTAGGGGCTAAATGACATATATTTAAATTTGATGGTTAAAAGTGTGACCTTACAAAGTCATACACAACCAGACTGATGAAACATAATGCAAAATTCAAGAACACATCCAAGTATATGTAAGTATTACATAATGATGAATTCTCCCATGAAAGGAGAAAGATTAGACCATTCAATAAATGATACAGGGAAAGTAAGCCTAACAAGAGCAAAAGCTGGATTCTTACCTTATACCTTAATCATAAAAAAAAAATTCCAGATGGATTAGTATGTTTACAAAAAACCTATAAAAGTGCTAAAAAGGTAGTTTATGTACTACTGTTACAGAAGGACATTCTAAGCATCTCAATGGACAGAAATCATAAATGGAGATTCACAACTCTGACTACCTAACAACTTAAAATTTATGTGTGGCAAAAGACAGGCAGAATAAAAGCCATTTAAAAAACCATGCTACTTACAACATGATTAAAAGTTAACCTCAATATATAAAGATATATGAAGAATTTATAACATAATTATTAAGAGATGAATGCCTGCTATGAAATAATTGGCAAAGTATACAAACAAGCAAGTCACAAAAGAATATAAACTACCAAGAAAAAAAAAAAAGGTGGCCTGTCATTCAGGCATTAAATCAAACAAACAAGAAGATAACAGTATTTGGGAGATTATGGGAAAACGGGCACCCCACAAACTGACTAATTATAATCAGCACTAGCTTTATGGATAACAAAATTTAAAACATGTGTTAAAAGCACGAAAAAGTTCATGTTCTTTCACTTAGGAATCCCATTTGCTTATATCTATCCTAATGAAGTAATTACAGATGTGCTCAAAGATTTCACTACAAAGACAGCCACTTGGACATTTAAACTATTGTTTAAAATACATGAAAAAGGGGGGCGCCTGGGTGGCTCAGATGGTTAAGCGTCTGCCTTCGGCTCAGGTCATGATCCCGGGGTCCTGGGATAGAGTCCCGCATCAGGCTCCCTGCTCCTCCCTCTGCCTCTCTCTCTCTCTCTCTGTCTCTCATGAATAAATAAATAAAAAAAAAAAATCTTAAAAAAAAAAATACATGAAAAAGGGGACGCCTGGGTGGCTCAGTTGGTTAAGCATTTGCCTTTGGCTCAGGTCATGATCTGAGCCAAATCACATCATGCCCAGTGATCTGCCCAGTGGGGAGCCTGCTTCTCCCTCTGCCTGCAGCTCCCCCTGCTTGTGTGCTCTTGCTCTCTCTCTCTCTGACAAATAAATAAAATCTTTTAAAATAAATAAATAAATGTTTAAAAAAATGAAAATAGATGAAAAAGGATGGGGGAGGGGTAGTAAATGCCAAGGAATGGAAGGTAAATATAAAGTATAGGGTAGCCATAATTCATTGTAGAAAGAATAGTTATATGATTTAGAAAAATGTACACAATTATATTACATGGGGAAACATTCTTTAAAAATATACACACACACTGAAGGACATATGCTCAAGTTTTAACAATGAGCACCTCTCCTGGAATTGCAAGTGATTTCCTTCCTTTTATGTATGTCACTACAGTTAAAATACTATTTTGGCTGTTTAAAAATATTAAATGGTCTATTTAATTTTTTAAAGGAAAACCTTCCTATGAAATTGGATTTATGAACTATATACATTGGGCAACACTGATAGAACAAAAAATGATTGTGTCTAACTTCTGAAGAAGTCAAGTCAAAGCAATTACTATAATTAGATTTTTTCTTCTTAAACAGTCAACTACTTAATTAAATGGTGAACTAACCACTGAATTAACTACAGAAAAATATTTAACCAAGTTGTTAACTGATTCCCACATGTCCATCAGCAAGTCACCTTTCTGGCCCATAAATAAAAAGCAGCCTTTTCAACTCACTAATAAGCATTACAATCAGACCTACTGGATAAGAAAAATTATCTTTGGTGTTCTGTCTCCACTAAAAAAAAATCTCTGAACTATTTAACTAACCAGTAAATTTTTGAGTCTGAGAAATTTCATTTACTCTTTATAACAAATGTCAATGTAGATACAAGTCACTTAGAGAAACTGAAAGCAGTTTTATGAAATAAGTACTATGTTTCTAAGTCTTTTAGAAGAATCCAACGTAAATTAAAAATTAAGAGAAGAAAAATGTCCTCAGGATTCAGATAGCTTTTACTATTTGGAAACCAATATAATGACCTCTCTTGGAAATTCCAAAAATTAGGTTTCAAAATACCAAACGTCACCCATATTATAATGCCACTTATATTCCAAAGTATTTAAATATTTGGAAAATTCTTTTGTACCTGCAATGAATACAAATAGGCACATCTTCATGTTCTTGGTATTTCCTCATTAAGCTTATCATGTCCAGAATAGAATCAAATGATGTGGGAACATCATGGTCTGGCCAGTTCACATAATGAAACTGATATAGCCTACGAGATTCCTTCAAGAATAACAGTAATTCAACAGTTATAAAAAGACACTACAAATTTTAAAGCAAACATAAAAGCTGCACATCTCACTTTACTGTCATTTGTAAGATATTTATGTATTTAACAATGCCTTATAAAAATAAATAACTACATTTATTGACTCTCATATACCAAGTATTGATATAAGGTCTTCACATATAACAATTTATTTATTCTCCATGTGATGTTATGAGAAAGGTACTGTTAATACTATCCATGTTTTATAGGTAAGCAAATTAAGACAGAAAGATTAAATAACTTGCCTAATGTTTCACAGCAAGTGACAAATGTGGATCTGAACCCACGCACCTGCAGAGCATGCACTTTTAACCCTTACACTATGCATATTCTTTAATTAATCCACAGTAAATGGATGAGCAATATATCATAAGCACTGTGTTCAAATCCACTGTAATTAGAAGACTAATAGAATGTTTAAACTGAAAAAGAAAATCAGAAACAAAACTTGTCCAACCCCAATCCATTTCCTTATTTTAGATCAGTGGTTCTCAAAGTATGGAGTACTGGAACCATGTCTACTTGTAAACAGGAAGGTAGGAGGTATAAGTATGTTTACAAATGTAATAGTTGAGGAAGAATGATGCACTTTATGGACATGCTTAATTGTTCATAATGGTTTAAAAAAATTAAAATAACAAAAATACAGAGATCGAGGAAGAAACCAATAAATGGCATTCTCTAATGTCCATCAGATTTTGATTTCTTTCTAGAAAATTATCATTTTATATAGATCTGAAACACTAAAGTCAAAGGCCTCAAGTAAAAATAATATATATCTAAATGAAGACTTAGCTTTGATGGTGGTTTGTTTCGATAAAGTTGTAAGCTAGCAAAACTGGGTAATAATTTTGTAAACAGTGCTATAATCTGCTTACTGTAATATAGGAAAAATATTTTCAGCAAAGAACCAAATATTCCAAATATAGTAAATTTAACTTAGGAAAATTGTTTTAAGTTAAAATTTATATTACTTTATCTTATTTTATAAGCTTAAGGCTGAAAATACTAAATAACCAGAGTTACACTCTGATTTTCTTCTTTATTATTTTAATAAGGGAAATAATTAACAAACTTCCTTAACTATGTAAGATAAGATGGCATATAATTTATATATCCTCTCTTTAAAAACTATCCTCAGAAACTGTCTCTAAATGGAAAATACTTACATTTTGAAATTCAAGTAAGAGTGTCCTAATGAAGTAGTCTGTTCTTGCTTGTTCAGCTTCCTAAAATAAAGGAAAACACTTGTGAGTCAGTAAGAACACCAAAACAAAAACATAAACACACCAAAACAAACAATAACCTTGTATTTAAAGTCCACAATATAAAATTAACCTTTAAAATTCCAGGTATACCTGGTAATTACAAAAACGACCATTCTAGGGCACCTGGGTGGCTCAGTCAGTTAAGCGTCAGACTTGATTTTGGCTCAGGTCATGATCTCAAGTCGTGAGATCAAGACCCACAACAGGCTCTGCTCTGGGTGTGGAGCCTGCTTAAGATTCTCTCTCCCTCTACCCACCCCTCCCACCGCACACTCTCTCTCCAAAACAAATAAAAAAACATTCTAAAAGTCACCAAGTTGTTTATCTAAGTTTTACTTACACTTAAAAAACAAAAACACAAACTCAGAAGTGTCTGTTAACCAATTACTTAACCAGGAGTCTATCATCCAATAAAATATTTGCAAAGTTACAACCATCCCCGGAATTATATAACAAAAATAATACAAAATGTACATTGTTCAGTACCCACTACCATCTTCAACTATTTTATCTTTCCCTAAAGCCTGGTTTTCCCTATCTAACACTCACCTCTCAGTTAACTGGATGTAGACTTGGGAAGGAAGAAGATGCACTCATAAAATTCCAAATTACTATTTTGATTGATGACAACATAACTGTTACAAGTCTCTCAGTATCATTTGTCAAGGTATTAGAATGAAGCCACTATATCAGTTTGTCCCTTAGGAAACTATTCTTTCTGCTTTTGTATATAAAACCACAGATAATCTAGGGCGGTGACTGTCAAGAACAACAGGATATGCTGTTTTTTAATAAAAAAGAATATTCAGTATTATTCCTGCTTTAATTTTTTAAATCACAGCAGTCATTTTGAACTTTTCAAACAACATTAATGGGGAAGTTTATGTTTTTATTTTCAACAAAAAAAAAAGGAGTATGGATGAAAACACTGGTCCAAGACTTAATTTTTTTTAATTTGATTTTATTATTATTTTTTAAGTAATCTCTACACCCAATGTGGGGCCTGAACTTACAACCCTGAGATCAAAAGTCACACGCTTCACTGACTGCGCCAGCCAGAAGCCCCTAGACTTAACTCTTCCTTACTAAGAAAGGCTAGATAGTAAATATTTTGGCATTGTGGCCCATAAAGTCTTTGTCTACTCAACTTTGCTGTTGTGATAGGCAAATATGTAAATTAATGGGCATGGTTGTATTCTAGGAAATATTTACAAAACAGGCAGCGGGTTAGACTGACCTGGGCATAGTGTGCCAAGACCTGGTCTAAGTGGTTACATGCAGCAACATATGATTAAGTTCCTCCTAGGTAGTCCTCCCTTTCCCACCAATACTTTACCCTCTTTCTCATCCCCAAACCAAGAGAGCTTCTGATACTGTCTTTTCTCAGTCTCAAAAACCGAATGCCAAGTAGTCAAGTCACTTACTATGGCTATTTTCACCAACTTGCTTTCTAATTATAAACTTAATTTTTTTAAAGATTTATTTATTTGAGAGAGAGAAAGAGAGAGGGAATGTGCAAGCAGGGGGAGAGGAGAGAGAATTCCAAACAGACTCCCCACTGAGTGTGGAGCCAAACTCAGGGCTTGATCCCACAACCCTGAGATCATGACCTGAGCCGAAATGAACAGTCAGACATTTAACTGACTGAGTCATCTAGGCGCCCCTATAAACTTGATTTTTGTTTACATCAGTGATAAGAAATCCTGAGTTGTCAGAAATAACCACAAGACATACAAATTACTTTCCATTTGAAATCTTGAAAGAATTTTGCTTCTTTAGCATGGATCAATCCCAATATTGACAAGTCAAACCAGCTACTGCTAATCAAATCAAATCTCTTACAGGGACTTTTAAAATTATCTTTTAGTTCAATTTTAAAAGTCACCCAAAAAAGTGAAATCATGTTTTTCCAAATGATAATCTATTTCTTTCTTTCTTCCATTATTTTAAATGTTGTTTACTGATCTTGAACCCAACTCTTCAAAAATTTCAACTCATTTAGTTGTTGAAGTTAAGCATTTGTTTTCACTTGAATTGTAACATTTAGTACAGATATCTTATTATATTTAAACTTACAAATGTTCAACACAACTATACTACACAGAAAATAGGTTTCCTGAACTGTCCAGGGACTTAATATTGTAGAATACTTTATGGATTGCTGAGGAGAGAGGTGTTCCCTCATAGAAATACACAAAGTGGTATGTATTGGTTTTTAATCCATTCCAAATAACATGAAATGCAGTAGGATTTTAAAAATTTATATTTAACCCACGAACAGTTAATTCTAACCAGGACTTTAGAATATTGGCTGCTTATTAAATCCAGGCAATTCAACATTACAAAAATCACATTGCATTTATAAAGCAGACTGTGTAAACACCTTGAGTCCTTTTCTACATCAACTCAGAAAGCAATAAACTTTGTGTATGCATCAGAGGAATTTAAAAGCCATTAAGTAAGTCATAAAATTATGGACTTCTTTAACTCACCAGAGACAAATGAAATCACAGAAATTATATTTTACTTAACCACAGAAAACAAGGTTAGAAACAAGTCATTGTGCGATGGAGAATGTGATGGTTAATTTCATGTGTCAATTTGCCTGGGCCATGGGAGTTCCCAGATGTTTAGTCAAACATTATTCTTCATGTTCCTGTGAATGTGTTTTTGGGTAAGATTAACATTTAAATCAGTGGAATTTTGAGTAGAGCAGATGGCCTCTATAGTGGGAGTGGCCCTCTTCCAATCAGTTAGAACAAAAAGACCAGTCTTGCCCAAATGAGAGAATTCTCCAATATACTACTTTCATTAGCAACATTGGCTCTTCCTGGTTCTACAGCAGACTGTCTTTAAACTGGAAGTGAGTATCAGCCCTTCTGGGTCTCTAGCCTGCCTGCCTTTAGACCAGAACTGCTACCCTAATAAGCTCTCCTAGTTTCCAGGTTGCTGGTCTTCAGACTGGAACTAAACTGTCAATTTCCCTGGGTCTCCAGCTTGGTTGACCACCCTGCCGACTTTGGACTTGCCAGCCTCCATGATCCTATGAGCCAATTCCCTATAATCTTTTTCTCTTTATATATGCATATCTTACTGGTTCTGTTTCTCTGGAAAATCTTAACTAATAAAGGGAAGTTACTTAATTTTCATCTATGTTCAGTCATAATCTTGAGTTTGAGTAAATAAGACAACATATTTCTTTCAGGTGATTAAGAAAGATGCCACTGGGGGCACCTCGGTGGCTCAGTCATTAAGCATCTGCCTTGGGCTCAGATCATGATCCCAGGGTCCTGGGATCAAGCCCTGCATCGGGCTCCCTGCTTAGCAGGAAGCCTGCTTCTCCCTCTCCCACTCCCCCTGCTTGTGTTCCTTCTCTTGCTGTGTCTCTGTGAAATAAATAAATAAAAACTTAAAAAAAAAAAAAGATGCCATTGGGTGTAACAAAAGCAAATTGTTGGTTCTATTCTAAAGCTCACTTATATTTTATTTCTCTTTTTTGCTTTTCCTTCACTGTTTTTGTTTTTTAATTCATTTTCTCAGATTTGGCTGCATTAGTTTTAGAACTTGAATTTAACTCATTTCTAGAGCTTATTAAATAGGTATATATTTTAAGTTTCATAATAAATTATATGCCATATAGGATCAAGCAGTTCTCAAAACTATCTTTGTATATAATTACAAAACTTCTGGATAGCATAACAAACATATGAAAGATTAACAAGATACACTATACTTCAGCCATCAAGGATCTTTTCCCATTTCAGTTTGAAACTACTACTTTGTGCCAATTACCTTGAGATTAAGAGTCATATCCTCCACTGACTGAGCCAGCCAGGCACCCCAACTTTAATACCAATTTCCAAATAGATCACCCAAACATTATTATTTTTTTGAAGATTTATTTGAGAGAGAGAGAGAGAGAGAGAGAGCAAGGGGAGGGGCAAAAGGAGAGGGAGATAGAGAATCCTAAAGCAGACTCCCTGCCAAGCACTGAGCTTGACATTGGGCTTAATCCCAGGATCCTGAGATCATGACCTGGGCCAACATCAAGAGTCGGCCACCTAACTGACTGAGCCACTCAGGGGCCCCAAAAAACAAACATTATTATTAATAATATATTTATTATAATTAAGTATACATGGAAATATTGAATGCTTGGCTTATATAAAACTGGGTTCATACCATATTATAATTATTCATCATTCTAGCATCCCAATTTTCTGAATTTTATATATATATATATATATATATAAAAAACTAAGTACTTACACAAGAAATTTTAAATGGTGCAAATGTTATAGGTTCTTCTCCATACAAAGGCCAATAGCGTTCACATTTTTTCTGTTGTCCAAAAAAAAAAAAGTCAGTAAGTAATCCATATGGTAGTTTTTCCTGAACTTTTACAAATATTCTGTGCCCTAGTACTCAGCTTGTTGCTCTTCCCAGAAGACAGAAAAACTGACATCATTAGGCAAAGTGTTAGAAGAACTTACACTTATCCAACTGTTCTTAAAGGTAAGCTACTATTTGTTCTCCAAGATTACTCAAAGGAACTTTATTAATATAAGTGTCTAAGCAGTTCATTGCTATCTGCTTGGTCAACAGAGTAGATTCCAAAGATCCTCCTCTAGAAAAGAAACACTGCTTTAAAAAAACAAAGTGCCTGGCACAAGGAAGTCTGTTTAGTATAAAGGGTTGTCAGGCAAGTTTTGTTTGTAAAATGACAATCTCTATAATATCTAGCTGAATTCCCATTAGGTATAAAATCTGTGGGATAGTAGAAAGAACACTCTACTTGCTATAAGAAGAATTTTCCAGGTTGTAACTAAGTAAGGAATATATTGGTATTTATATTCCAGGTATAAACTAATAAACAATTGACACCAAAAACTATGTGCTAAACATCAAACATGTATAATCTATAATCATCACATTCATTTCATAGACAAGGAAACTAAAGCTCAGAGGGTATAGTTCACTGCACCATGGTCAAAATGCTAATAAAGTGTAGGTTTATTTGATTTCATTATCTATGTTCTTTCCATTAGGTCAAAATCAGTCAAGCTTATCAAATAAATTCATAGGTCCTAACTCACTGACAATTTACTACTAACAAAACACTATGAATCACAAAATCTTTAGCTTCAAAAATTCTGTACTCAGTATGACCTTTTTCCATCAAGTATTATTACTGAAATACAAGTGGCAAACATTAACAGAATGAAAGGAGGAATAAATCCTAAACCTTTACAGTAACTTAAACAGTAGGAGAGTGAAATTTAAATTTTCTAATACAAACAATAATACTGGTATTGAAGTATATCCTGTCAATTCTTAAACAGATAACCTAATTACTTACTTTATTGGTTTGTGTATTTTCTAATCTTAGACTATTAATTTTCTATCCAATATTACTTAATACTTCCACTACTGGTAAAGGATTTAATAGGGAGGAATGACAAAAATTATTAGTTAAAATACACCAATACATTGGTTTCCCAATGATTTATGTAGTACAGTGTCTCACATAACTAAAAGATACACTATCTTGCTTTATGCAATATATTCTTTACCGAAAAAAATTTAACAAGAAGTTTTACTACTTTTTTGCCAGAGGGGAGGGTAGGTGAGGAGATGGGTGAAACAGATTTATAAAAATTTTACTTTAACTAATGTACCACGTTAGTATAAGGAAAATTCAAATCACCACATAATTTGTTTCTAAGTCTGATGTGTCACATTTATAGAAGACCGCACTAAAGTTTTATTTAATACCTATTTTCTGTAAATGTATTAGCACCACCAACATTAAAGACTTAGTTGGTCTTAAAAAGAAAAAAAAAAGACTTAGTTGGTCTTGATGCTACAGGAGATCACACGGTTTTAAAACTAATTTTACTTGCACAGAGTATAAAAATACCAATGTTAAAAATTTCAGATTAAGGAATTTCGTTCTCTTTGCTTTTGAAGATAGTTATGAACAAACAAAAAATTGTAGTGGTATTCTCAGACAGAAAAATCAGAATATTCCAGCTATAAATTGATATAATTAATCAAAATTACTTTACTGAATTAATTTTCATTTGTTCAATTTATTCCTCTCTACTACAGTCCATAAATAGTGTTCTACCTACAACACCATTGAACTTCGAAAGACTAATAATACAGTATCTATTATTTTAAGTGTATCGTAAAACATACTTATGAAATGTAAAAAAAAAAAGGTTATGTGCTTTTTAGGGATTATAATGTTCCTTTTATCAAATAAAACCAATAACAACACAAAAAAGAAGTATCTACCTTAACTACTTAGGCTCAGAATATAATAAAGAACCAGGAACCATATATCCCTAAAAATGAAGTGATAAAAAGGATCCTCCAAATTACTTTAAGTGTTAATAGGTATACATACCCTTCCCATCTCAAATTCTCGACAGGCCATCACAATGATCTAAAAAGAAATGGGAGATGGGATGAGATGAAGACTATATCAGCTAAACACAATTTTACCTTTTAAATAAAATATGAGTAAAATTATACCTGGCCTGTCAAAAAAAGCAATTTTAATATTAAAAGTAGAAGTTAAAGAAATGATCAAAATCACACCTTACAATCAAGGGACAACTAAATAGCAACAAATTAAATTGGCTTCAATTAACATAATGTATTTAATTTGGATTAAATGTTATGATCCTTATAGATTGGCCTCTGACTTTTGAAATTACATTAAAATATCACTTTTAGGATATTTACCATTTACGCAAAATATTTTAAATATATTTAATAAAATTATCTGAAGGTTGAATGCATTTAATACTGTCTTTAAACAAAAAGGTTATTAGATTTGCTTCTTCATCCCAACATTTTATAATGTTTGCTATATGTCAAACATACAGCAAAGCTGAAATAATCTTACAGTAAACACTGTATAGCTACCATCTATATTCTACCATTAACACTTCACTCCTCTATCATATAGCTATCCCTCTATCCATCTGTCAATCCATCTTACTTGGTAGGTATCTTCTTAGTTAACTGACTGAGGAAAAGATTTAAAGTATTATCACACACTCTTCTTAAAATATTTCAACTAATTTGTGAGACTCGAATGAGACATCCTAGACTTCAGTTTCGGTCTTTTCAGTAAACATTAGTTGTAATTAACATATCATTACGGCTAAAAAGTCTTCTCATTCCTTATTCAGCAAAACACCCTATGTCATTACATGTAATACTTCTCAAAATAGATTATGAAAAGTAAATTACTTACTACGACATTGTACTCCCATATCATCCTCCAAAAATCTATTACTGTATTTGCTAAAGGTCCTTGGGTTGCCACATACGCTTTTGGCCCATAAACACCCTAAAATGGTTAAAAGGAAATTTCATATTTATTATAATTACTAAAAATATTTCCTTACCTAAATTTTAAGGTTTCAAATTTTATTAGCAATACTCCTCTTTTCACCTTAAGTATTTCCAAACAATATCCTATTTTTGTGTATTTATTAGACATGGCACACAGAATTGATAAACTGCCTTATGCTAATTTACAAATTACTATTTACCTGGCTTTAAAAAAAAAACCCAATACCTAGTCAACAAAGCTAACTAGAAAGAAACACAGAAAGCATGTTTTGATTCTAAAAACAATAGTAAAACTACCTGATAGTTCTTTCTTAGCTACATTCTTCCGCAGCTACCTTCAATTATTTACTCAACTTAAAAGATTTATTGGGCACCTACTATATACATATCTAATAAGAAACCTGGGAATATACCAAATAAGACAACAGACTAAAATACTAAACTAGCACATAATTGAATCACACAATAAATCAATGTTACTAAGTAGAATTAAAAACTGGAGTTTTTTTTGGTTTTTAAAGATTTTATATTTAAGTAATCTTTAACCCAATGTGGGGCTCAAACTTACAACCCTGAGATCAAGAGTTGCATGCTCCACCAACTGAGCCAGCTGGGTGCCCCGCAAAACTAGTACTTTTAACAAATGTCCTTATAAAAGAATATCAACACTGACAACATCTGAAACAGGAAACCACCTACATATTAGTTTTTGTTTAACTTCTTAGTTTCGGGTTTTGCCATAATTTTAATAAAATTCTTTTGGGGAAAAAAGTTTTTATTTGAAACCATGACTGTTTAATGTTGACATGGGTAATATTAATTTTACATGTAACTCGTACCACCTTACTATTTTTGTCAACAAAATATTTTTTAAAACTATCTATAAATACCATATATAAAAGAACAGAAATTATACTGTCATTCAAAAACAGAACAACTAATGGAACAAAGTCATCTTTTATTTAATCAAGTAGCAGTTTGAATCTGTCTATTGATAACTACTATGCAAGAACTTGACTGCTTTCGATGTAAGAGTATCCAAAAATGGTTATCTACATAAAGGCTATATTTAATCTTGTATTCACTTGGGTTGCCACTCGAAACACAGTGACAATTTTCAAAAGGTTTTAATCTAAACTTATATTCTATAATTTTAAATCAGTATTACCCAGTAATTCCAGCCCTGATAATTTATCCTAAGAAATTATTCAAAAGAATAACAATGTTCACTGCAATATTACCATCAAGAAAATTGGAAACAACCTATAGAGTTCAACAACAGGGAATAACCATGTATATACATTTGTGTATACAAACCCAAAGGGACAATAGAGAAGATGATTTAACAATTAGTATACTGTTTATAAGCCTTCAATGTAAAAAAAGAAAAAATAGAAAGCGATCTCAACTATCATGATACTAAGCAAAACTCTTTATGAATAAGGTTAGAAGGACACCACATAAAGAGTGTGTCAGGGCTGTGATTTTCTTTTTGTTTTTTGTTTTGTTTTTGCTATTGGTATATTTAGGCAATTTAAAAAATTTTAATAAAACTAGTATGTAGGAAGACATTAAGTAGGGCAGAGAAACATCATTTGAAGTTAATACATACCTTAATAAAATTTGCATTGATATAGTCTGAATCTTGAGAAGGAGTCTTTAAAGTCAACTTAACTCGGCTGTGATCAACTGTAAGAAAAAAAAAAAGGATTTCATAAATTACGTCCTGCTGGTAGACATGTGTTCTAATAAGCCATATACCTCAAAAATATTTTCTTTAAAAAACAATTTCTAACATCATATTTATAGAAAATAAGTCTATAAAAACAAAAATCTGATGATGTAAAGCTGTGTTTTAAAGCTGTAATCAGAATAATCTCAGGAACTCTTTTAAAATACAAATTCCTAGGCATCATCCCAGATTTGCTAGACAAGAGCCCAGGGGGAAGCCTCTGCAGTTTTTTAACAAGCATATGAGGTAGCGGACACTAACCACTAATGTACAAGCTCATTTGCCAAACTTCTTATTAGGAAATGCAGCTTTCATATTTCACAAGAAATTATAAAAATTAAGTAAATTATGACACATGAAGTATGATGTATAAAAAGTGCTAAATACTGCACTCGGCAATAATATTTATTATTAGGTAATGGCCAAGTTAAGGTAAAAAAACAATCTTTACAAAAAAGTTCAAAAATATAAATTTCATTAGTTTTATAAAATTGCAATTTTATTCTGTCAAATATAGGTAATATGTATACGATTTTTAAAAATCAGATTTAAAAAAAAGGCTTTTTTTTTTTTTTTCTTAAGCAGGCTCCATGCAAGTATGGAGCCCAGTGCAGGCTTGAACTCATGACTCCAAGACCAAGACCTGAGCTGAGACCAAGTCAGACACTTAACCAACTGAGCCACCCAGGTGCCCCTTAAAGAAAGGTATAAAATGAAAAATAATCTTCCCCTGTCCTTGAAGTCCAGGTCTCTCTTTCCCAACAAAGACACTATTAAGGTTCTTTTTTCCTTCCAGAAGTAATTTTTATGCATATACCTACATACCTCGAAAACTGCAAATGCAATCATCTCATATTCTGTTATCTCACTTTTCAGTTAATCCTATATCCTAGAATTCTTCCCAGATCTAAAATAATACAGGTCTATTTTATTCACATGTTACATAAAATCCATTATATGGATGTTTCATCATTTATTTAACCAGCTATAGTACTGATGGACCATTTTTTCCTATTAAAAACACTACCACACTGAACACTGCTGTACATGTATCTGCTTTCACTGCTAGCAGTGGTATAACATAAGTTCCTAAAAGAAGAAATGCTACCTGCCTTCTAAAAGGTGTATATTAACTTACACGGTACAAATGCTATTTGTAAGAGTGACTGGGTATTATACTTTTTAACAGGTGACATTCTAAAAAGTAAAAAAATCACACTTGTATTTCTTGAACTATGCAAGTGGTTGCACATTTTTCATAGTTAACTGATTATTGAGATTTCTTTTACCATATACTGCTTCTTTATGTCCTTTGCACATTTTTACCAATGTCTACGTTTTCCTACCGATTTATATGAAAAAAAGAAAAATGAGTCTTTAGTCATAGGTAGTGCAAATAGTTTTGTTCCAGTTTGTGTTGATTCTTAAAAATTTTTTTCTCTTTCCAGGATTCCACATTACATGTAGTTACTATTTCTCCTTAGTTTGTTCCAGTCTACCAAAGTTGCTTTGACTCATTTTTTTTTTCTTATGATTGGAATGAGGTTTATGCATTTTTGGCAAGAACACCAAGAGAATGATGATGTGTCCTTCTCAGTGAGAAGACACACCAAGGGGCTTATGATGTCAATTCCATATTATTTGTGATATTAACCTTGAATACTTGGTTAATATGGTGTCACCTGGTTGTCTCCCACTGTAAAGTTACTATCTTTCCATTTGTAGTAATAAATATTTGGGGGAAGACACTTTGAGCCTATGAAATCCTAAGGCAGTAGGATTGCCTAATATTCACAAGTATCCAGATTAGAAAGAACCATAGCATGTAATATGCAAGATGCCATTATCATTATTATGGTCCTTTCTAATCCAGGGACGATGAATATTAAAGGCAATTAAAGTTAGAAAAAAACAAATACAGAAATGGTAACAGGCATGAATAAAACTTTTTAGCAAACCCTTAAAAGTCAACTAATGAATAACTGATTTGTCAATGACTCAAATTTTATACATTAGTACTAGGGCCCAGTTCTGCTGATTTTATTAATTTTTGGTGAAATATTTGAAAATTTGTAGGAAGAGATACAGAAGGAAAGAGATACTAGCCTCCAATTAAAATCATGTTATCTCTTTTCTGTGTTTCCAGAAAAGAGAATGTTTACATGTTTACCAATGCTCTGTTTCTTATCTCACTTGATCTTCTGGTAAATGGGAATATTCAGTAGTTAGGATAATGACAGTTAAGTAACTACACAAAGCTTCCCCTCACCATGTTTGCCAGTAATGAGGAGTCCCAATTAATTACCTTTACTCATGTGGCATATCAGCCTCCAGTTAAAGTATCTCAAACATAGGACTTTGTACAATAGTTGGTTTACCACTGGATCCTCACCTCAGTAAATGTTTCTGGGGATTGTGAACCCAAATGAGAACAGTGGCTCCCAAATGATAGTCAATACAGGTACCAGGCTGTTACATCCAAGCTGGTAATTTTTAAAAAATATTCTGTGATGGAAAATTTTATGCATACACAAAAAAACCATAATGAATCCCCATATATCCATTACCCTGTTTTAATAATTTCAACATTTTTAAGTTTTTATTTAAATTCCAGTTAATTAACATACAGTGTGATATTAAATAATTTCAACATTTTGCCAATCTTATTTCATCTATCTCTAATCATACAACACCTGGGCGCTGGAAAAAGCAAATTAAAATACAAGACTTCTGAGTACCATATTCTGTAGTAAGTTTGATTCAGTAACTTCAAGATGGGGCAGAAAAATGGCTTATTTTAAACTCTAAAGCACAAGCAAATTTTGTAGTCATTGCTTTATGCTAAATAATCACAGTATATTACTGATAATTTTAAAAACCAACGTTAGGTTGCTTATATTAATGTAACACATCATCACGTGTATTTTCAATTTTTCATTGGTGCTCCTATTAAGCATAAACGTGTATAACTTAAAGAATACTAAAGAAATTAAAACAATCATTCCTCTCCATGGTTTTGCTGATTGCCTCTATAATCGCCCAAGAACCCAACTCCAAACAGATAAAACCAAGATTGGCCACACAGGAGGCTCTCCACGCAACAACGTTTATTCCCCCAAACAAACATCAACAACCTATGGCAACAAAAAGAAAATATTTAAATATTGTCACCTCTGAAGAAACCGAAACTTCCTATTGATTTAAATCTTAGGTCTCAGGGAAAAACAAGAATCTTCATAATTAAATTACAATATGTGTATTACACTGATCCATCACTTCTTTTTTTTTAAGATTTTATTTATTTATTTGACAGAGACAGAGACAGCGAGAGAAGGAACATAAGCAAGGGGAGGGGGAGAGGGAGAAGCAGGCTTCCTGTCAAGCAAGGTGCCAAATGCGGGATTCGATCCCAGGACCCCGGGATCATGACCCGAGCCGAAGGCAGATGCCCAACCATCTGAGCCACCCAGGCACCCTGATCCATCACTTCTAAAGGCTAGCCAGCTTGATTTTAGTCCTCTTAGCAGACAAAGTACAGATCATTCTTGATACAAGAGCATCTAGGTATTTCTTAATTCTGGAACTGGCCTCAGTATTCTAGTATAAAATGAATTAAATCTCCAAGATAGCTCTAGAAAAACCCATATAATCTTTGAACGATGATGAAACTACTTTTAATGGATCAAAAGCAAAAATGTCTGCTCTTGCCACTTCAACATTGTATTAGCGGTTCTAACTAGAACAAGGCAAAAGAGGCATTCAGATCAGAAAGGAAGTAGTAAAACTGTCATTTTTTTTGCAGATAAAATGACTCAGTATGTAAAAAATCCTAAAGGATCCATAAAAAACTACTAAACTAATAAATGAGTTCAGGAAGGTCACTAGATTAAAAAAAAACTATACAAAAATATAAATTGTATTTCTATGTGCTAGTAATAAAGAATTTGAGAATAAAATAATTTCATTCAGGGGCGCCTGGGTGGCTCAATCAGTTAAGCGACTGCCTTCGACTCAGGTCATGATCTCAGGGTTCTGGGATCAAGCCCTGCATCAGACTCCCTGCTCAGCAGGGAGCCTGCTTCTCCCTCTCCCTCTGCCTCTCTCCCAGCTGTGCATGCTCGCTCTCTCTCACAGTAAATAAAATCTTAAAAAAAATTTTTCATTCAGATAATTAAAAAGATAAATACAAGACTTGTGCACTAAAAACCAAATAACACTACTGAGAGAAATTAAAGATCTAAATAAATGAAGAGAGACAATTCATGTTCATAGACTGGAAGAATCAATATGGTCTAAGATGGCAATTCTCCCCAAACTGATCCATAGATTCAATGCAATCCTTACAAAATCCATTAAGGTTTTTTTGCAGATATTGACAAATTGATCCTATAATTTATATGTAAATGCAAAGGAACCAAAAGAACCAAATAAATTTTAAAAAATAAGAACACAGTTGGAGGCCTTAACACTTCTTGCTTTTAAAACTTACTACAAAGCTATCATAATGAAGACAGTATGATAGTGGCTTAAGAATACAACAGTGTAGTAGAATTAAGGGTCCAGGAAAAAAAACCTTTCATTTATGGTCCAATGATTTCCAACAGGGGTACCAAGGCAATTCAGTGGAGAAAGGACAGTCTTTTCAACAAATGGTATTAGAACAATCCTACATACACGATTATTTCAGACAATTAACTGAAAATGGATTATAGACCTAAAATATAAAAGCTAAAGCTACAATTCTTCCAGAAGAAAAATAAGAAAACAGAAAATCTTTGTGATCTTGAATTAGGCAGAGTTCATGGACAGAATATCAAAAGCATGATCCATAAAACTGATAAACTGGACTCCATCAAAATTAAAAGCTTGCACACTTTAAAAGACACCTTAAGAAAATGAAAAGACACCTTAAGAAAATAAAAATACAAGCCATAAACTGGGAGGAAAAAATTTGCAA